TGTTCTCCAAATACTTAATTGTGTTTGGTAACATACCAATATAGTAAAGGCCAGCATTTGTTTGTAAACATGAAAGTTTTTCTTGTTCATGAAGATATTTGCATGTAAGTATTAATGGATTTGGTGAAGTTCATAGGATGCTTTAGCAGTATTTATTCACGCCCTTGCAAAAAAGGGGAAAAAAATAAAGAGAAAACACTGAAAGTATGATGAAAGCTGTAAGCTTGATTTTATGAATGGTAGAATATTGATACCTTATTTTTATGTGATAGAAAGAGAATATCTGAGAAAATCAATGATGATCATAGTGTTATTTATTCAGCCTGTATGTATGGTTATGATGCACAATATATCTATGTAATATATTATCCAGGTCGTAGAAGTCTGTTCCAGTTATGGCAGAGTTTAAAATGGATTGTTTTATGTTTTAAGTATTTTTTAATCAATATTTGTGGGTGTAGTGGAAATGAATTATCCTTAATCTTTAAGATTAGTTGAAATCGTGATGTATCCCAAATGATTTTGAACAGCAAAGCTTTGTGTTTTTATGTTTACAGTGTTTGTAATGTTATAAGGAACCATGATTGCATGCAAAACCTCTGTATGAAGATATACATTTACAAATGTATGTGCTCACTATTGGCTAATGTCTTGAATTAGGAAAAGAAATATGCAATTTATTTGTATCCTTTGAAAAAAATTACATCCCTTTTGGCACAAATCGTTATTTACAAAATAAAATTTAGTTTTCCCATTATTTGTGCCAGACTGGCATATGGAAATACTTGAAGCAGGATGTATTTGGTTGACTTGTGCTATTTTTGTGAATAAGCCAATTGCAATTTGCAGTGAGATATTTCTCCTTTGGCATCTGGTTCAAAATTTGGAACAACTTCAGTTATTGTTATTCTTACATGTGGAAATGTTACACACATGTACAAGTCAATATCCATACTTCATGCCCTACAAGAAATATGTTTATTAAATGTACATGTATTAATCAATTACAACTCTTAAATATTGGTCTAAATGTAGGTGCATACAGTTGCACAGCAGTGAATACAATACTTATATTGGGGGTATTGGGAGTTGCAGGTACAATGTACAGTATCTTTATGTATCATTGTAAATGTATTTGAAAGTAATATTCACTTCCATCCACTTGCGTTTTCCTATGATCACTTTCTTCCTGTCCTCTTCTCTCTCCCTCTCAGAATCTTCTTCTTTTGTCCCAGTATTGTCTTTCTCTGTCTATTATATAGTTTTTAAGTGTATAGCAGTATTCTTTTTAGATCATGACATCTTTTGAATTATTGTACGTTATTTGACAAATGTGTTTCAATCCATCAAATGTATGTGAAATTGATCATTTGAATATTATAATAGTAATTTTTAAACACTATAATATTTCTTGAATGTTTTGTTCAGTCTAGCAGTTTAAAATGTTGATATTGTAAAGAAATTTGTAGTCCAGTCAATAAAAAACGAGGGATTAATAGCTTATACACGTCTCAATGAATTGTATGAATATTTTCTTTAAGAAAAAAAATGTCATTACTAATAGTTTTATATTTTGGTGCATCAAGCTATTTAAACTGCCAGCCATTTATCATATTCTACAATGCACAAACTTTTTGTATCATTTTTATTTTGAACAGTTAGGTAACGATATGTTGAGTTGACAGAAGAGAGATTAATCTTTCATTCTTTAAGAATGAACAGATTCTCTCCATCCTATTGTTTAAAACTCCTGTTCATCTAATCTTCCTGCCACTTCTTATACACATGTACCTGTTTATTAATTTTGACTCAACTCAGATTTTTGTTTTAGCTCAATGAGACTATATCATGACATGTCACATTAATAGTTAATTATACTTATGGGAATAGCTGTTAAAAATGACAAATGTTTATGCTCCGATACGCTGTTTTTATTATTCTTGTGCCAAAGTTAAATTGTATCGTGTTCTGTCTCCTATGTTACAAACTTACAACCATGGGGTATTATATGTTTAAGGTGTGCACACTTCTTTGTAACTCAGTGAATGGCAGTCAGAACTTTAAAGTCTGTTTGGAATTGCAGTTTACATGTAAATGTATTTGATTTTGCAAAATGTTATTTTTTCTTTGAATTCTTATTAAAAGCAGTTTGAGTTTTGCAATGCGATTGCAACTGCAGTCATCTACAATGGTGATATTGCAGTCAAGACATGGTGGCAATAATTTATCCTGGCAATTCTGTGACTTAACAGGAATTCAAAGAGCTTCTGGAAAATTAATAAAACATTTGCAAAAATAACAGCTTTTGCAGTATTAGCTTCAACACTACAGGGTTGTATTAAATTGTTAAAGAGTTGTAGTAAAGAAACCAATAGCTACACATCTGACCAGCATTGGTTTGTTCCAGCAAACTTTGGGAGTTATAGTATAACTTTGAAATGAGTTTTGTGGAAACAGTACATTTGTTGTTGGATTTAAACCTGAATAAACCACTAAACACCAAAGAAAAATATATGAGTTATCTTTTGTTTTGCTTTCTTTTTAGTATGTGGATTCTTTTCTCATCTTTCATCATCTTTCCCACAGCAAGCACACTGACACCTACACATTAAAGAAAACTAAGTATTTATGGACATGAAAATGGTGTTTCATATTAAAAACATTTATTCACAAAATATTTACAACTTTGAATGTCAACACTGTCATGATTTGGAAAGAAAACAAAGAGAATGAATGTAACCCAGGAGCATAGACCTCCAGGGAGTGGGAGAGGGGAGAGTGGGGGACACATACATGTAGTCATGGGCAAGTTCAGGTTCATTTTAAAGCTGCAATGATCATCTCTGGTGCTTAATATTATGTGGACTTAAGAATGCAGGGCTCGACTTTATCGGGAGCCCGGTGGCCATTGGCTCCCTGAAACCCCTGCGGGCTCCCTGAAAAAGTGCTTGAGGAGCCCGGCTGGCTCCCTAAGTTTTTCTAGTATCAGCCACGAAAAATGCTGTTTCTTACCAGCACTTTAATCCATGTTTTAATCCATCTAAAAACCCAAATTCCGCAGTCAAAATCATGAAATATGCGCTAGGCATTCCAAGGCACACTTGGCTCAACTCCAGCGCGAATAATGAGTTGCAAAAGAAAACACATCGAGATCAGTGCAGGAATGCCATGCATGATAACGTTATATCTCCGCACTCGTAACGAGTGCGCAATACATGCTGCATTGTATGTCGGTGCACTCAGAGAATGTACACACTAAGACAATTGCACGTGGTTGCTGCGTTGCCAGAGCTGAGTGTATGTTTACGTCGACTCGTGTTTGTGATACATGTGCGTTTGTGATCGTGAGTGCTTATTCTTCAGCGTGCGTACCTGGATGGACTTGATTATTGTTTGAACATAATTTTACGAACTACAAACTTCAAAGGCGTGTGTAAAAAGGGGTTGATTGTTGTTTTGTGAACATATGTACGAATTAGGGAGATTCGTGGCTAATCGTTAAAACGGCGTGTATAAACGGTCAAAGGGACTGAAAAGAATAAAATATGGAATAAAAAAGTTTGACTTGAATGTCGTTGGACTAACTTAAAGAGAAGGTTGAGTTCTGGGAAGAGGTGAAAAATAATTTGTGAGCGTTACTCATTCTTATTATGCAAGTGTGGAAGAACATCAGTTAAGACATGTTCCCTGAAAAGCTTGGCTCTTCAAATGCCTACATATTCTAAATATGCATGTAACATCGTAAAAATCGGGGGCCGGCTTTTTACGCCACGTGTTCGTGTAGTCCCATATACATCTTTCTGTGCAAGTGTTTGTAACTTTACCAAGACTTGGCCACATTTCTTATCATTTTGATGATTCCAGAACCTTGCAATACACACAAATTCTTATATGCTAGATGATCAACCTTTTCTGGTCGGTTCCACACCGTTTCTTTCACAATGCAATCGCATGACCAGAACTCAACTTCATCTTTAACGGCAATCAATAAATAAATTTATTATTTCTTTCATATGTTTTCGCAAGGTTTGTGTACTACTATAAACTGTTGTGTGTTTTTTTCTTACAGTTTATGTATTTCACAAAATGTTTTTATTGTAAACTGAAAGTAATTTAGCCTTCCATGGGTTGGCTGTCATATAGTAATACGTCATTTGATTAATTAAAAAAAAAAAAAAGTATTCGACTATTTCAATCACGTTTCGTCTGCTATTACGACTTAGCTTTTATTTGCAAGATTTCATTCATGAAAACAGTGAGTCACGTCGACACTTTCAACATAGTGCCTGTGTTGTTTGGTAACGATTGCATGAGAAATATAATCAATGACTATATCTGATTCTCATTCTGATAAAACCTTAAGTCCAATGTTAGACTGTTACTGTAGCCAAAGGGCTTCATAATAGTTGTAAGATTAATTCTTCAGTACAGTCAGTTAATCCTCATGGTCACATTTACACTTAATAATACACCCCTCCCTGGTCCCGGCGCTGATGATTATAAAAAAAGGTATCGTGACGGTGTGTTTTAATTTTTTAATAGTTAATGACCATTATGACCACAAAAAAACGTGATAAACTTGGGCTCCCTGAAACCCCTGCGGGCTCCCTGAAAAAGTGCTTGAGGAGCCCGGCTGGCTCCCTAAAAAAAAAGTAAAGGTCAGGCCCTGGAATGCATTTCAAACCAACAGACATCTACAATTTACAACTACTCACAGTTCTGTCAGTAAGAACCTAATCTCACGCCCCCCCCCCCCCCCCTCCCTCAAAAAAGTTATGGTGCTTTCAGATGTGGTACATTTGCCTCTGAATAGAATTTAGAAAAAAAATCTGACATATAAAAATACCTATTTCAAAAGCATGTATGTATGGGGATGTAGAGAAGTGGTTTTTGGACTTTTTTCCCAATGGAATACTTATGCAGCATCTACAAACTTTGACTTTAACCCCTGAAAAAAGATAACGGAATCGTGACAGGATTCAACTTTCCTCACATTTTTGTTTAATTTGCTTAGTGTTCAATGTCTGGTATATTTCTTTTCGTTATTTATCCAGAACATGTCTACCACTTCCAAAAGGCACAAATCTGGACCAATCTGGACCATAATGTACGGTCAGTACGCAATCCCTGCCTGCATCAGCATAAACAGGTGCCCAAGGCAGTCAACTTCGCTCTTAAAATCAGTCACTTCATACAACATAATGCTTTATCTTCAGCAATCCAAATGCCTTGCACTATTGGACTCTTCCAGATTCATGACGACTCTGATGGGCGCTAGTTGTGTCTGGGCTCGATCTGACAAGGTGTCTTTTACTTTTGAACACCACTAGTCTGTGACACAAGTTGGTGGATGCTATCCAACCTTGGTAGTACACTGTACTTGGTCCATAGACCTTTAAGTGATGTTTAATTCATTGAGTTCATAGTCCATGAGTTGGTGAGTGTTATTTGATCTCGGGTGTACTCAGTCCATATTTCGCCTTCATCTTGTCGAGCTCTGCCTGCTTCTTCGCCTCATCCATCTTCTTGAAGGCCTGTTGGAAGAGAGAAAGAGAGAGAGAGGGAGGGAGAGAGGGAGGGAGAGAGGGAGGGAGAGAGGGAGGGAGAGAGGGAGGGAGAGAGGGAGGGAGAGAGGGAGGGAGAGAGGGAGGGAGAGAGGGAGGGAGAGAGGGAGGGAGAGAGGGAGGGAGAGAGGGAGGGAGGGAGCGAGAGATAGAGAGTAAGAGAGAGAGAAAGAGAGATAAGGGGGAAAATTGTTAATGATCATTAAAACCATCATCGGAAAGTTACATTTTTTGATGCAATCAGGTTTTAGCTCAGTACACTAAACACAGAAATGTGGACAGCAAAATCAATATAGAAATTACCAAAATTGATGATTCTTTTCCAAATGCCTAGGGATGACACCACAATGAATTCACATGTGACATGTAACACCATGAATATGATCATGAGTTCTGAAGCTCCAGCTTTCTCTTAGAGAGAATCGGTGTTTTCTGCTCTAGATGAAACCGGTTGAGTCTGGAACACATAGATTTATCCCCACTCTTCCTGTCTATCTTTAGGGTTAGTAATCCCAGACTTTCCCTTACACAATTTCATTGAGAGCAGACATACTACAGCTTTAGAGCTTGTAATATCATGCAACATTGACAAAGAGGGTTGCTGCTATTTTAGTATTGTAATAATCGAAACACAGGAAGCGTAATGTTGCTATGTCAGGCAAAATATAAAAATGATTTTAAATGTGATCATCAAGAGCAACCACTATTTGGAAAGGTTAGCATGAGACTACACAGGGTACTTTGTCGCACTTCATGCAAAGTGAGCAACTTTAAAGTTGACTTATTGTCAAAATAATTACACATAAATTTTTTTTTTTTCTTTTGAAGATGGAAAATATATCAAGTTATTCATGAAATAATGTTATGACAGATAGTTCCTTGATATCTTCAACATGTAACTTAATATAAATAGAAAAAAACACAACCATGATTAGCACTTACCCTATTTGACTGGTAGTAAAGAACAACCAGGTACCTGCCACAGACGTTGAAACCAGAGAGATGGTCGCAGGCATTCTTGGCATCAAAGATGTCTTCATAAATCACATAGGCTGTCCCCTTTGTGTCTGGATTGACACCTCTGGTTTAGGAAACATAAAAGAAAAAATATCATGAATATACGTCCCAGTATTGTGTTACACAACAGAGTTGAGGCATTCTCAACATTTGGTGAAAGTGTGATCCTGCCAAAGCATTTGCCACACCATTGAACAGACCATACGTCACATCCTTTGTTATAGTGCACTGATCCATGACCTTTGACCTCAAGCTCATTTGCATATCATCTTGAGACAACATCACTCTTAATTATTAAAGTGACATAACATATAAATTACATGATGATACATGTTGTAATGGCAGTATATCACTCCATCATTTAGATGGCTATCACAGGACATTGCTAGTATGCAAATGACCACAGGTGCTCATTTACATATCATTTGCATATTTCCCATTTTCTGGGTGTTTTATTAATTCTAACATTTACATGACTTAAGCCAAGGGTGCTGAGACTAAGGCATTATAGCAATGTCAATACTTGCTCCTTCATTCAAAGAGCTGCCCACGAAGATGACATGTATGCAAATGAGCACAGCTACCTAATTTACATATCATTTGCATATTTCCCACTTTCTGAGTGTTTTTATGCTCTAACATTTGCATGAAGCATGCTAATAATGCAGAGACTTCAGGATTTATTTCAGAAATTTATATTTAATGATTTGCAAGGAAAATGCTGCCAGTTTTCCACAGAACACATACATTTTTAACAAATGTTAGTAAATACTAACTGTGCCTATAATACTTTATCATGTGTGAGATATATATAAAGGTCCTTCCACCCCATGGCTCTTGTGTTGTATGAAAGGAGAGAAGGTTAGCACTCCCCTTGATAAGGACGGAATTCACCCTCGGGTGACAACACACAAATGGTTAAGGCACTGCCACTTACTTTGTGGCATCTAACCACGTTTTTACCCTTGTAAGATCATAAATTTAAACCAATTCTTGAACTTCGAAGGTAAATGTAATCTAATCATAATCTTAAGATAATAAGATGGGGTTTTGGACACTGTATATTAGCCAGAGCAATTACCCCAAGCCATGCACATGCTGATATCTATCATATGAAAACTTTTGTTCCCTGATTTGAAATCGGTATGATGTACACGAATTCTTTGGAAGTAGGATGCACACAAATTCTTTGGAAGTACGATGCACAAGAATTCTTTGAAAGTTTGTGATCTCTACTTACTGGATCTCACCCTACATTGTATATCGGCCTAACTACCAGGACATTTTGCCTATGGTCCTTATTTTTCCCATACTAGCTTTCATCGACCCAGAAAGTGGCGAGCAAAAGTCACTATCGGTACATCTTTGAAAGATCTGTCGTCTCTATTTCTGAATGAAAACTGACTCCCCAAAAAACATTTGCATGCAGTTAATACTATCTTACCAGTATCATTTTACAACTCCTGAGCATTCACAAGGAAAGATGAAATACTTACACTCTTATCTGTCTGATGGCTCCATACTTTCCAAAGATGTCGTACATCTCTTCAGCTGTAATCTTGTAGGGCAGGTTCCTCACGTACAGAATTCTGTTCACCTCCGGAGGGAGACGAACCTATAAAATTGAATTAAGAAGATGATAACATTTTTGGTAAATTAACATGTGAATTATAATTATATGAATAAGTGATAAAACTCACTGTCAGAGATGCACCCTCCAAACATAGTAAAGACTTTTACACTATAAAGATTTGCACTCGAACAATGTTTAAAGGAAACCAAAACCTTCATGTGTGTGTGTATTGGGTTTTTACAGACGTGTATCAATCAGATATGATTATTTACGTCTGGGACCGACCTTTAAACGTCACCATTCGAAAGACGTGACTCAGTTTCGAACCTGCGTCCTCGGCTGAATCATTTTGTAACTTCCACTTTTTAGCTGGATTACAGGCGCACGCCACAACGCCTAGTTATCGAACATACTAAGTTACTTTTATTGTAAAGTTTAAGATATTTGAAAAATATCAGTGACAATTTGAACAAAATCGGGCAAGGAATTAGGAAGTAAGAGCTTTTTGAAATGACTAGTCACTAGAGGGCAGTATTCAATTTGATGACATCATCTGTGAACAACTCTCCATGCCTTTTGTACATCAAATTTCATGTTTTTCCTTCTTTCTTGTGATTGAGATAATGTACTCCCCCGAAAGCAAGATATAGAATGCAAAATGATATTCTACTTCACATGTTATGAAGTCGGATCAAGAACACAAATGAATACGAAGAAAACAAAAAAATTGTGAAATTTTATGTACAAAAGGCATGAAGAGTTGTTTACAGATGATGTCATCAAATTGAATACCGCCCTCTAGTGACTAGTCATTTCAAAAAGCTCTTACTTCCTTATTCCTTGCCCGATTTTGTTCAAATTTTCACTGATTTTATTCAAATCTTTTAAACTTTACAATAAAAGTAACTTAGTATGAAGGTTTTGGTTGTCTTTCAATAACTCTGTCTTCAAATACTTCCCCTCCCAAAAAGGACCTACATATGAATTATGGATGGACTTCCATGATTTGAGTATAAATTCACAATAATTCTGCAACATATGGTCCTGGACTCCTGGGGAATCCTTATTCAACTAGAGATTTAACTTACACAAGAAACAAAACCACCTAGAGGGCTACTTTTTCCAGCCAAAATTTTGACTGTCATGTGTTAATAGCAAAAACTGTGCCGCTTGTGCACCAGCCATTGGTTTTTCATTATCGATAACCCTACAGGGCTTAAACTCAGACTTGCATTTGCAGCAAGGCTGAGTTCGCCCCAAGTCCGAGTTAGCCTGACTCTGTAAAAACGATGGTGATTTTATCTGTGTGGTATTTGTAATATTTTCAGCAAAGTTGGGTAAAATGACAAGCCCTAGCCTCTGGCTCTGACTGCTGTTGAGTGTAGAGCTCAGTTTTAACAGCATTCGCCTGACCAGACATGCTTGCAAATGTGAATTGCGTTATCCTATGATCTTTCAGCCAATTCAGGGAGAAAAATAAAAATGGGGTAGAAACCCACAAAAATGTGTGATTTTTTCCCAAAACTCTGAAGTACAGGGTAAAGATCTACAATAAATTGGATAGATCTCTATGTCAGAAGGGACACTGGACCCAGAACAAGGACCGTCCGCATAAACGAGGATATCTTCGTAATCGCAGACAAATCGGCCCAAATTCACAAAGCAAGGTTTGAGCTCAGACCAAGGTTTGAGCTCAAACCTCCTTTTGTTCCGCCAAACCTCCTTTTGTTATTTACAAACCAGGTTTGTAAATAACAAAAGGAGGTTTGGCGACACAAAAGGAGGTTTGAGGTCAAACCGTGGTCTGGGCTCAAACCTTGCTTTGTGAATTCGGGCCAGCGTGTCTAAAGAGAAGGACCATCCGCGTTTGTAGGTGTAGGGTTACCGATCTGCGTGCTGGCAATGCGAAAAACGGATTCAGCGTAATTACTTAATGACTTTGTGTACCCCCACTCAGGCGCGTACGCAGGGGGGGGGGTTTGGGGGGTTAAACCCCCCCCTTTGGAAATTTTTTGTGTGTAAACCCCCCTAAAAAAAAAACTAAAACCCCCCCCTTTTGGATTTTTTTTTTATTTTTTTTTATTTTTTTATTTAATTATTAAAAAAAAAAAAAAAAAAAATTATTCCCATGGCCGACCTAAAAAAGGTGACCTTACCCCCCCCCAACGGAGCAAAATGTCAAATTTCCAAATTTCGAGACCAAAAAAAAAAAAAAAAAGTGTCCTCTTACCCCCCCCCCGCTTATTCAGCGGTCGGCTGAGTCGTTTCAATTTTTTTTGGGACCAAAAAAAAAAATAATGTGTCCTCTTACCCCCCCCCCCCCCGCTTATTCAGCGGCTGGCTGAGTCGTTGCGAAATTTTCGGACCGATTTATAAATGTTAAAACCCCCCCCTTGAAAAAATCCTGCGTACGCGCCTGCCCCCACTAGATCTAGTCCAACGTACATATACTTTTACGAGCTGACCGTGACATGACACCGACAGTCTGTTTTCCAGAGGAATTACCGTTCATGATGTGAAAGGTAGAATCTATGCTGCGTAAGTGATACTGATAGATCTACATGCATCATGGAGCATCGTCGCGGAATCCATTTTTTGCATCGCAAACGCGCCCATCGGAAATGCAGAAGATCCTTATTTTTTAAGATGCGATTTGTCCGCGTTTACGAAGATATTTTTGTTTATGCGGAAAATCCCTAGACATGGACCAGCGCCCCTACTGATCAGTAAAAAACTATATTAATTTTTACATTCTTTGTGTAACTTCCATGACACAATCATTTTAGGGCAGCAGCAGAGTCAGAGCTCACCACGCAGAACGCGACGGCGGTCATGCCGGGAGGATTTTAGCTTTTTTCACGCTGCTGTTCTCTCGATCTCTCTCTCTCTTGTTATGGAAACTTCATTTACTACAGAATAAATTACTTTCTGAAACAATTAAAACTCTCTGATATTTACATAATACTATTCACAACATTATTTTGTTTTAAAACAAGGGTAAAGTAATGTGGAGTCCTATCAAAATAAAAATTCTTACATTTTGTCGGCGGGCTGCTTGCATCGCCATCTTTACGTTTTTGGTCGGTACTGGTTAATTGTGAACGTAGCTGGCGCGCTACCAGATAGCGAAATTCAACTCTGTCTGAAAATAATAAAGTTTTGTTCTAAAATGCTACGAGATCTAGTAGATCTAGATCTGCATTTTAACGGAAATCACCATGAGTAGCAGGGGAAGCTATAGTCAGAAAAAGGTGAGGTATTTCTCTTCTTCTAAGCACACATGAACAAAAGTTAGCGAATTAACTTGTCACTGCATTGTGATGAAATGCACTTTAGTCCCGTAAGGCCGTATCAATGGTTCTGGTGTTGTCCAATTTGTTTTTTTCGACGCGCCAGGAGAACGTAACTCCAACGCAAAGTGGACTTCAAATTGAGCAATAGGTCAACAATTTCTCCTGGCTATATCTTTGTTTTGAAAACCACTCATTCGTTTGCACGCACAGGCTTGTGTGAATGTCAATATGTGTAGATCTAGCCTGTATAAATGTGTGTGAGGCGTAGACCGAATTTTCCGTCTCTTTTCGTTAGCCTCTTATTGGGGTAGGGTCGGCTCTCTCTTTAGAGACGGAAACCGTCTATACACATTCCCTTGATAACGCCACGGCCATTTCAGGTCGTAGCGTTTTGCCCCCAAAATCCCCCAAAATGTCATTTTACCTCATGCATTGATTATTTAAAATTAGGAGAAGGTTATACTACATCGGTTCCACTTACCAACTTGACTGAAATAATCCGTTTAATGGTCCCTTTTAAGGAAATTATGGGTCAAAATCGACATCCATGTTGAACATGTTGAAATCTTGCAAGCCGTGTTAAACTCTCGCTGCGCACGGAGTCATCTAAATCAATCTCATCCCTTCTAGTCTACGCCGAAGGCAAAACGATTATGAAGGAAAAACTGCGCCATCTACACGTTAGTAATGGCGTTATCACAGTTTTCCTTTATAATCGTTTTGCCTTCGGCGTAGACTAGAAGGGATGAGATTGATTTAGATGACTCCGTGCGCAGCGAGAGTTTAACACGGCTTGCAAGATTTTCAACATGTTCAACATGGATGTCGATTTTGACCCATAATTTCCTTAAAAGAGACCATTAAACGGATTATTTCAGTCAAGTTGGTAAGTGGAACCGATGTAGTATAACCTTCTCCTAATTTTAAATAATCAATGCATGAGGTAAAATGACATTTTGGGGGATTTTGGGGGCAAAACGCTACGACCTGAAATGGCCGTGGCGTTATCAAGGGAATGTGTATAGACGGTTTCCGTCTCTAAAGAGAGAGCCGACCCTACCCCAATAAGAGGCTAACGAACGAAAGAGAAGGAAAATTCGGTCTATGTGAGGCGCAGCGACGTGATGCCAATGAAAATGTCGAATGAAGCAGTGCGGCATGTGCCGATTTGCAGAATAAATGGTGGGCTCCTAACTGTTTAGGTTGATGGCTAATCATTTCAGTTTCCTGACAAATTATGCCTTGACCTTGCCCTTGGTGGATCTATGAGTATGACTAATATGGCAAAATGTGATGCCTTTTAAAACTTATATTTAAATAAGTACCAGGTAAATAGTAAAGAGATGGAAGGAAAAGGTTCAAGACGATGTGGGATTATCCACACAAGAGGCAGAGCAACTAGCCCAGGACAGATCTGACTGGAGCATGATTTCTTGCAGGGGAGCAAAGGGACACACCGTCCTATGCACCTAAGTCAAGTCAAATAGTGAAAATCTAAACAATAAATTAGTATCTTGATCTCATTGCAGAAAAAGGAAGCAGTGCGTCGACTTAGCCAGCAGCACTCACGACAGGCAGCCAGAGCAGGGCCTACCAGTGGGCCCCATTATGAGCTTGGGAGAAAGAGAGCGGGCCCGGAGAAAAGGAGAAGGTCCAAAGATGAACCAGATCCTGGTGCTGGGCAGAGAAGGAGAGGTAGAGAAGGTAATAGATACTAGATGGGCTTTTCCCTCTTTCAAAAAAAAATCTGCATAAACGAAAACTAAAAAACAAAGCAGAAAAACTTCTACTAACTTTTAATAAATTCTTAAAATAAAATCTTGACAGATTTAGTTTTACTCCTGAATGTTAGAGAAAAGGGTAAGACCATAGGAAAAGAGGTTGAGGACAAAAATGGTCACCATTCATTATCGTGAACTTCCTGTAAATGGAAACCTGCCCTATGAGGACAGGTGACTATTTTTCATAGTTTTGTCCCATATGTAAAGAAAAGCCTGTATTAAATGATTCTCATTAATCCCACCAATATAAACCAACATAAGACATACAACAGACTGCCAACATTTAATAATCCAAAATCAGTCGTATTGAAGTCAATGTGGAGTCAGTTTGGTCGTGTGACTGAGTTAAACATTTTATGAAGACCTAACATTCTCATTATCTCTTTCTATTTTGGGAGGTGAAAGAAGTTTACAAAGAACATAAGTTCTAAATGCCTCGTAAGAGATGTCACTTTTTAAAAGCATTTTTTTTCAAAGTTTTATTTTGAGTGACATCTCTATTCTTTTATTCTTGTGAAATCAGATGCTGGAAAGCGATTTATCAGTCCAATGAACAACCCGGACCTGGCACCAGGTACCTCTGCTCCAGACACTTTGAGGGTGGGACAGTTTGGAGAGCCAAGCAACGTTCCTTCAGACTCCTCTGAGTCGGAGCTTTTCACTCAGGGCAAAATTGGATCAATGCCAGGGTCTTCTCTTTTCTCTCAAGCATCGTCTTCTGGAACTTCTCACCTTGCTCAAGAATCCTCTTTTGGGGATGCACCGTCCAGCATGTTTGGCAAACCAAGTGTTCCCTCTTCGTCTTCTGTGTTTGGATCTCAGTCAGCAACATTTGGATCTTTTGGGACGGGACTTAAGCCGTCTCTCTTTGGTCAGGGTATTATTGATTCTGACTCTTCCCTCGAGGATGCAGGAACAAAGCAACCCAGCTTCCAGATAACCTTTGGTCCAGTTGGCGACGATGAGGCAGGTATTGGTAGATCCATTGAGGCCCAAGATGCTCCAAAGTCAGACCGACGCATTCTCTCCAGAGATTCAGCTTCGAATGAGAGTAAAAGAAGCAGTGGTTCCTTTGGACAGATCTCCCCTCGTAAGGACGACGTAGCCTTCCAGCAACCCAGGAGAACCTCTCTCAAGAGAGACCTCTCACCTTCCAAACCATCGTCCGTGTCTCAGCGCCCTCTCACTTCCCATGACGACATGTTCGGGTCAGACATATCGGACATGGAAAGCTTTGGGTCAGCGCCCTCAAAGCCAAAGGTCGAGAAGGAGAGCATGCAGGGGAGGGCATCGGTCAAGAGGAGTGGTCTCTTTGGCAGAGCTCTAGATGATGCGAGTGGACGCAGAGAGGCAGAGCCCAAGAAACAACGAAATGAGGAAAGATCTCCCAAAGGTAGGATTAGTATTCACTAGCACATCACCTTTTTCTTTTTGTATTGAATATCAACAAAAATTGCGATGATATAGTATATGTTGATAGCATGTGTAGATAATGTGTGTAGATATTGTGTCAAACCGATTTTGTCATTGCAGAGAATAATCACAAATTTCTCTGTATTTACAGGTCTTAAGACCAACTTCCTTTAATGCTAAAAATTAGTATACTTACGATACTTATAAAAAAAATCAGTGTAATATGTTATGTATTTATTGTTTACAATTCATAATTAACAAATGTCGTATTTGCTTATTCATCTTCAATAAAAAAAAGTGGAAAAGCTGCTACATTACTCTAACCTGAGTTCTCAATAATGCATAATACCCTTGATCCTCATTCCACATGTGGAGGATTTCCAAGAAAAAACATCAGGGGCAAATTCTCCCAGACAAGGTTAACAACAAAGGTGATCGATATGTTAATATTGATTCATACTATCAGCCTGCAATATTGCTTTGATCTTCCAAAATCTCCCATGTTTTTCTGCAAAGACCCTCACTTTGGGCCAAAGGTAAACAATTTCCAACTGAGAACCTTAGCTAAATCTCATCATTATTTTGTTTTTCTTTCTCTCTTTCTCTGTTGTTCTTTGCTCTTATCTCAACCTAGAGTCTTCAAGAGGGAAGAAAGAGACTTCTTTGATTGTCAGTAGAAGCGAGGTCAATCACTTGACCACGATCATCGTAAAAGATGTTCCTGATCAGTTGAACAACCGAATTTACATAAACAAGTTGTTCTCCAAGTTTGGCAAAGTGAAGAAAGCAACTGTGAACCCTCGAAAGACGATGGCCACTGTGTACTTTGAAGACCATGTGAGTTTGTGCGATGATATGTACATGAACATTAAGGAATATTATCATTAGTTGACAAATACGTCTTATATCAGATTCAGATTTGATTGTCCACGTTCAAAAACACAGAAATTTGGCCTCCACTGGCAGGAGATAACAATGAATAACATAAGAATACATAAATATGCACAAAACAAATCAATTAGATTAACAAACACATTAACAATACATTCTGACAAAAATAAGAGGAGATATGGAATGAAGGAAGATGAGCAAGAAAAGACAGGAATATAGGTAAGGAAAAGAGAGAATAAAAAGAGAATTATATGGTCTAATTCAGACATACATGAGAAGATATGTATTAAAAGGGATGAAGAGGTTGATATACAAATAAGTGGAAATTTGATATACAAATTGCACAAAAACAACAATAAAATCCATCAAAAGTACTTGAGATTCTTACAATTGACAAATTCTTGTGATTAAGCATTTATTTCATATCATACTATTTTTGTAATGTTTTTTTTTAAATTATGTTTCTTTTTTCATAATGTTGGATTTTCTCTAGGAATCGGCAGCTAGAGCAAAGCGTGATGTCAAGACGTTGAAGGTAGGGACCCAGCCTGTTACAATCTTCTGGGCGCAGAAAGACAAAGGCAAAGAAAAAAGAAAGAGTGGTGAGTTTAATTTTTTTTTTTTTACATCTTTGCGTACCTGAATATGGCAGCATTGCTTATTACTGGGTCCTGTCCACCTTCAAGTTTTGTCCTTGATCAGCAAATATTTTGACAAAGCTCGAATTTTTAATACATTATATCAGTACACTAAAATCAGTGAGAAAAGATGCCCAATTCAAGAAAACTTTTTTCAAATGCTTACGTGTACTCATTTATTACAGTTATCCAACCCACCCTTTAATTAGGTACTTTACCCTCCCTGAGATTTCACATGAATTCAAATCCCCCCCTTACTCTTCCAATAGTTAATGATATGTAATAAACAAACAAAGAGTAATCTCAAGCAAAATATGAATGATCAAAGATTGTTTAACTGTTGATGTGTATTTCAATGTTTAAGGAGTGAGGGGGTAAAAAGTGTTATTCACTTTATGACACCATTGACAGTTTTTCCCTCCAATTAACTTTCAATTCATATTATTTGAATCATTTTGTTTTACAGATGAAAATGTCCCTCCATCTACCAGTGAGACTAAGACAGAAGCAGATCCTCCGCCAAAGAGAGAAAAACCTCCACCTCCTCCAGCTTATAGTGGTGAGCAGTGTAACTGAGCATTGATGTACAATGGCAGTATATGGGCAAAAGATGATATGATCAATCAAGAAAAGTCTTTGATGTAAAATAATTCATAGTTTTCAACATATTTTTGTTAATGAATGTCTAGTAAGCTTACATTATGTCATATGTGTATATTCAAAAGTGTGATTTGTAGAAAAAAATGATTGTTCACCAAAATAATGCAGACTTCATATTTTTCAGAAGTATACTTTTCATTGATATGTAGTAAGTTTGCATCACGTATATATATATATATATATATATATATATATATATATATATATATATATATTCAAAAGTATGATATCAAAATATTACTTGTTCTCCAAATAGTGCAAGACTTCCTTTGCTGTATGTAATGTGTAATTTTATTTGTACAAACTATGTAATTTCTTTTTTAGTTCTTTGCCAAAGTTATTTAGTGGTTGATTCTCTAACGATAGTTCAAGCTCAAGATGCTATTGTTATCTGTGTTATCTGTGTTATACACTGTGAACACTAATTCTTTTGAACTGGCTCATCATTAATTTCCACATATGCTTTCTTACGGTATAAACAGGGAGAAACACTAGAGGGTACCATACAGCATCGGAGAGATACGAAGCTTTAGAAGAATGGGACAAACAAATCAGAAAGGGTAAGTTTAAACAATTTGAACTGAAAGCCGTCAAGCGTGATATCAAGATGAAATGTAGACAGGGCCGGAGAGTCATTTGCTCCCCAGCTCTTTTAAACGCTCTTGTTAAAAAAGCATATCTGCACTAGTTTGGCCAGGAGGGATTAGACCTCCCTGCGTGGTCACTGGCAGGTTCAAATGAGAAACACTGTAGAAGAGACACAAAAGGTTTGGTCTTTATAATCAGGTAGTCTCTGCGTACAGATGACTGTTAAAGCATGTGTATTTGTGTCCCATGCAAGGACTGACCAAACAGAGTGACCTGACTACAGCCAAGAAGATGACCGGTACATGTCCAGACATGTGTCCAGAGAAATTGGTCCAGAGGAGATGTAGTCCTTAGGAATAAAGATGTCTTAGTTTATTTGTTTTTCTGTTCTTTTCTATTCTTTTCAAGGAATGACCAAAAGAGTGACCTGGCTACAGCCAAGAAGATGACCGGGCCATGTCCAGACATGTGTCCAGAGAAAGGTCCAGAGGATATTTAGTCCCTAGGAATAAAGATGTCTTAGTTTATTTATGTTTCTTTTTCTTTTCTTTTCAAGGAATGACCAAAAAGAGTGAACTGGCTACAGCCGTGAAGATGACCGGGTCATGTCCAGACATGTGTCCAGAGAAAGAGAGATACATGAGAGAAGTCCAGCGGAGACTCAGTCCTTATGAGATGATGCCCGGACAGAAGGTGAGTGACCTTTGAACTCAAGTTTGAAATATTATAACCTGTCAAACTGATCAGAGATTTTCAAATTGATTGGCAGACTCTTATTCTAGACTGAAAATGCAAAGGTCTTTGGTTCAAGCCCCAGCACGGCACTTATGTCCTTGAGCAAGGTATTTTATCTACATTGCTCCTCTCCACCCAGTTGTTAAATGGGTACCCGGTAGGATACAAAATTGTTGTGATTGGATTAGCATGTGTGCGCTCGTAAAAATGGCGACTAGCTGGAATTGTCCCCAGAGAATGGAGAAAGTGCACTGTTATGTGCAGAATAGTAATTCTCTGACAGGGTAATGATAAGACTGGGATATTATTACTATTATTTTTAGATCAGGTTCCATATTGAAACGTGTATCTATCTATCTACTGATATCTCTCTATTTCCTATAGACTTAGGGGTCTTCAGCTGTTCTTGTTCTACATATCTGCTTAAAAGACATTCCTTATCACTAGAATTAAATGGAATTTTAAAAAAGTATCTTTAAACTCTTATTTAGCCAAGGTAGCCACATCAATAGTTGATACATTATTTTTTCAGAGGGTCCCTGCATAATCACATTATGAAAAATACTTTGATTAAAATGTTGACATTATAAACAATCCTGCAATTTACGTACAATGAGGTATATCTACATATTTATATAATATTTATCTGGCAATTGGTAATTTTTTAATCCTCTTTCATTCTTCATGTATCATTATCGTGGGTGATATGGTATATTGCAATAACTGCTTTGACCCAGCATGACTCTTAACCATATTTCTGATGTCCTATGTTTATTTTGATTGTACTTGCAGATGGAGAAAGGAGTGAGTCCCAATGTTTGTCACCAGAATGCGGTAAAGGAGTACAGCAGGTCATCTGCAGATCAGGTAACCAATTTTGTGTCAGGCATTTTAGTCCCATTTACCTAATTTATACCAATGTAATGTTGAACTCCTGACCAAATGGAATGTGTAAGATGGATACAAATATTTGTTTAAAAGTACTACATGTATGTCCTATTTGCAGGCCCAAAAATGAAAAGGTTAAATTCCAATGGCATTTGAAAGACAATACTAATTTAGAACTTCCTCCAAAACGAAAGGGCTTGAAAATTGCTCTTAGTGGGAAAATAACAACCATTAGTTGTTGAATCGACTTAAATGATTGCAATCACCTAAGTAATAGTCTGATTTTCAAACCCTTTTTCTGAATGGTTGTATGTTTTGTGATGCACAAAGATTCAATTCAGTTGATTTTGGCCATTACAAGTAGTGGGTTATTGATGTGGATAAATGCTCATGTACCTCTAATAGCTCATTATGCCTCCGTTACGAAGTAGCGGGAGGCATTATGTTTTCGGGTTGTCCGTCCGTACATCCCGTTCTAGTGATCGCGTTATCTCAAGAACCGTTATATGGATTCCTGCCAAACTAAGATCATGTATGTATCTTGCAGAGCCAATGAACTGAGTAGATTCTGGGGTCATGAGGTCAAATTTCAAAGGTCATGGGGCTCATTATGTATGCAAAAATAGCTTGTGAACGCATTCTCATTAGAACTGACACATGGATTACTATCAAACTCAGGACATGTATGTTTCTTGCAGAGCCAATGAACTGATTAGATTTTAGGGTCATGAGGTCAAGGATCAAAGGGTCATACATGTATATGAAAAAAAGCTTGTAATCACGATATTCTGAGAACCTGTTAATGGATTACAATCGAAGTCAAATTTTAAAAATTTGCTTCTGTTTTGGTTGGTATAATCGCCCAATGGCGGAGGCATCATTTTCGACTGCGCGCAGTCAAAGTTCCATCTAGTTTAATGTATGTTATTACCAAAGAAAAAAATGTGTCAGTGAGTCACTCAATAGTGTTTTACAGCGGAGTCTAGAAGATAACAGGTTTCCTTGCATAATTTGAATACTAGGACACTGCTAATGTTGAATTTCACAGATACGACATATACATGGCATATTCATAATTCCTTCAAGGTTCTACAGAACTTGATGTTGGCTGCAAAAGGGACATAGTATCTTCAAGTATCTGAATGATCTATCAAACTGTTCATGATGCTCCGTTAACACATACAGTTTGGGTCGGCTCTTTGCATTCTTCTAATTCAACACAAATGAGTAATGGAATTTTTCACAGTAATCTTACGCATTTAGTCACTCAAAATCTTGCTGGGAAAGTATGTTTGCTACTCTACATGAGATAATGTTTTGATTAAAAATGAGTTATAAAGTTGTTCTATTCTCCTCCTCAACAGGAAGAGCCGTTGCCCTCTGAACTTCGACCTCCGGCTGTCCTTGACCTGACCATGAACTACCTGATGGGAGAGATCATAAATCGAGAGCCGACGGGGCAGGGCGGCGATGGGAGGAGCTGGGCAGACTGGTTTGATTTCCTGTGGGACAGGACGAGGAGTATCCGCAAGGAGATCACGCAGCAGCAGCTGTGTGAGACTACAGCTGTCAGCCTAATGGAGAAATGTGCAAGGTAGGTTTGAAATGCAAAAGCGGTATTGATGTCGATTGTGTTACGAAAAGGAGGACAATGTGCCACTGAATATTATGATGCTAAAGAAGAGTCACTGCATTTATTGTAACTTCATGTCCGAACATTGCAAAGTTGCAAGTTTTGTGGTCATGTTACTCTCTACCAGGCTTCTTCACAGGTCATTTTACATGCAATATTTGGGGATCTAACAAGTATTTGTCTCTTCTCACTCCTGTTAAACTAGAAGCTTTCAGGAATTGTATAGTGATCAAAAATCATTTTTGTGGCAAGCAACTTTTGCAAGCTTCTAAAATTTGGTTTCATTGATTTCTATCGTAGCATGTAGCGTTCCCGAATCGGAATCACATGTGATATATTGAATCTTGGAATACACAGGTAAATATTTCATGCAGGAACAATAAAGTGGAAATTTCTATTTAATCATTATACGGGTATATGTAATTTGATTTGATAAAACGGGACTGCAGAGAACCTTCTACAAGTTGACTTCAACGCTAATATTTATATATTTATTTATGATTTCAGGTTTCACATTTACTGCTCGTATCGACTCTGCGAGGAGGGGCATATGTCCTTCAGCCCCAAGATCAACAACGAGAACTTAACCAAGTGCATGCAGAGTCTGAAACAGTTTTACCATGACCTGACTGACGAGGGCGTCTTCTGTCCCAACGAGGCAGAGTTCAGAGCTTACGAGGTCTTGCTCAACCTCACTGGAGGGGATATCCTCAGGTTAGTTGGGATTTAGAAGGTTTTTATTGTTTTTATTTGTATTGTCTTTATCCTGTGTTGCTCTCTAGAAAGCTTCTCAAAATCTCACCAATGATCAATTCTAAACAGTTTTTAAGAAAGTGGGTTGTTTTGAAATTTCCTTCTTTCCCTACCCCCCCCCCCCCTTAAAAAAAACACATCTTATTTATTGTATTTTTGTGATTCAATGCATGTGAAATAAATAATTCTGTTTTATGATTTCTCTTTCTTTCTCCTGTGTTACATAGAAAAGATGTCGCTAAGTTTCCCCAAAATATTTCAAACTTCATAAAGAAGGTAGAACTGTCAAAATTTTTGAAGACGTAAAGGCCAGATTAGCCTTAAAACAGTTATGCTTAAATTTGTTAATACAGAGTTTAATCAGAGTATTTCTGTATTCCAGCAATACATTCTAATTTTCTTGTAAATTTTTTAATACAGAGTTTGATGAGAATATTAACAGTAATCCAACAACACATTTTAGTTTTCTTGTTTGATGTTCTTGATGTTTTGCAGGGAGGTTCAGCAGTATCGACCTGAAGTGAGAAACTCTGAGGCCGTGGTGTTTGCTATCAAAGTCTCTGCAGCCTTCAGTAGCAACAACTACAGCAGATTCTTCAAACTTATCAGGTAGCCACTAGCTTTTATCAAGTTAAATAGCTTGATTTGTGCACACAAAATTGAAGGGCCTGAGTAAAAAAAATTAAATGATTGTACAGTTTCAGGCAAACATATTGTTTTTAGTTCCAAGACCAACGTATTGCCTTTGTTGTATATTTTTACTTTATCTGTTAACATTTTATGAACACTTTGGCAAGGAGGAAAAATGATAGGATTACCGGTAGATGTGTCAACAAATTTGATTTTTAAGGCAGGTATTTCATGTAAGATTGTTTTCATTTCTTGTAGATCAATTAATTTTTTAAAGAGATTGGATTGATTTTTCGGCATACATTTATTCCAGACCATTAAACAAGGCACTCAATCTATCATTCCAAGAAATGATTTCCTTGTAGAATTTCTTTTGTGTAATAATCTTACAGCCTTGATTATTAATTTGTTAAAATACATAGCACCGTCGTTTCATATGATATGTGCTATTGATATGTTTTAACAACTTTATATTTGACTTCTCGTGGAGGAGGGGGGAGGGGCTAGTTATCATGGATGATAATAGGGACTTTTAGATTTGCACAACGACAACGTGGATTGCTACGATCGACGTCCTTTTAATGCACTGCCTTGAATGGACGTCACACGTATCAATCCACGCAAATCTAAAAGTCCCTAATAACATAACTCTTTTTCATTCAGTTTTGGCAGTGTCATCCATGCTTGATTAAAAAAAAAAAAATCAGCCATCTCCACATTCTATAACATAATCACCTCCCCTATCTACCATTTATTCTTCTCCCTAAATACAGAGGGGCCTCATTCTTGAATGCTTGCATCCTCCACCGTTACTTTGTCCAGCGACGCTCTATGGCGTTAGAGACCATGAATAAGGCCTTCACCACGCCCAAGGGTATCTCCTTGTTCCCTGCCGTCGAACTTGTCCATCTCCTGGCATTCGAAGATGAAGATCAGGTGGGTATATTAGGCCTCTATTACTATCAAACCTAGGACATGTATGTTTCTTGCAAAGCCAATGAACTGATTAGATTTTAGGGTCATGAGGTCAAATATCAAACAGTCATACATATATATGTAAAATAGCTCGTAATCTAGATATTCTGAGAACCTGTTAATGGTTAATGGATTACAATCAAACTTGAATTTTTTTAAATTGCTGCCGTTTTGGTTTGTAAAGTTGTTCTATGACGGAGGCATCATTTTCGATAGCGCGCAGTCGAAGTTCCATCTAGTTTTATCTCTGCATTGTACGCAGGGGAAGGAGGCATTCAAGTCCAGTTGATGTTTTATTAAAGTGCATGTGATTTTTTAAATGAAAATTATCCTCTGAGTAAAAATTAGGATGATAAAAAAAATTATATGTTGAGCGGGGGGGGGGGGGGGGGGGGGGGGGGAGGGGGAGAGAGAGAGAGAGAGAGAGAGAGAGAAGAAACAAATGGAAATGCACAGGTTATCAGGGCTTAAATATGCTGTGGGAGTATCAGTATGATAAGGAGCATGGCATATTTTTGGGGTGAATATTCAAGGTATACCATATTGAGTTTTTCTTTGTGTTGTCGACACAACATGCCAACATGATTGTGCTCTAATAACAATATTGACTGAGAATACCACAAATATAGCCCTCATTAGACACTTCCTTATTTGAGTCTAATTTGGGCAGTCATTATATAGATATTTCCATCATCAGATTCTTCATAATGATTTCATTCCATTGCGCAGGCTTCTATTTTCTGTGAGTACCACGGTCTGAGTAGTGCAGATGGTTGCATTCAGCTCAGCAGAGGGGGTTTCTTTCACCCGGAGGAGACCCTCACATCTCAAAGAGCGCCCTCTGTCATCGAAGCCAAGAATGACAGGTCTATTGCCGAGGTAAGCAAGAAGAAAGAAGAAAGAAAGTGTTAAATTACATGTTTCTGCAAACATGTTTAATGTGTTTGAAAGTCTACATGTTTATTGTAAGTTCATGAAATTTTTCTCCATTTTGGGTTCTCAAGGAATTCTTACAGTGAAAAAGAACACCAAAAGTTTTGTTTTATTTCTGTTTGTATGTTGAAAATTCCAAGTATTATATTGTTAATCAATCCTTTTTGTTTTTAAATTGAGAAGTTAACCTTAGTAAACTTCAGGGCATACCCAATATTTATTTTCTTTAATATTCTACTCAGTTTAAGGTTTACTTTTTACATGTGCGATATTTCTTCAGATGAATTGTATAAAGCCAATAAATATGCATGGAACCCCAATTGTACAGATCAAAACAATCCTTTTGATAGAGGTCCCCATTAACCTGACATTTATTTTAAATGCCCTGTTTATTTATCATCTCTGTTTATAGGTGGTGAACAATGGTCCTCTTCCCATAGCGCCACCTCACACCCCTGTCTCCAGCTTTGATGAGAGTGGGAGGCTCCTAGAGAGAGGTGTCGAAGCTAAACCAGTCCGAGGTCTGGCAGTCGAGACAAGGAATATAGTTCAAGGTATGGCTATTCAGATTATAGTTCTACTTATTTTTGTATTACCTTTAAAAAAAATGTTAATATTTTGTTTTTAGTGTCATGATCAATATAATTATTTTCATGGGTTTGAAATCTAGATGAGGAGTGTAGTTCTGCTTATTTTTTCTATTACCTAAAATTAATATTTTTTACTTTTTTAAAATCATTTCTTTTTAAAGTGTCATGATTAATATGATCATTTTCAAGGGTTTGAAATTTAGATGAGGAGTATTGTTCTACAAATACCTGAAATTAATGTTGTGTGAATATATTATGAATATATGGCCTGGTTGTATGATGGCTGCCTTGATAGCTGCAAATGTTGGAGGATCAATATTCTTGTTATTAATGTTGCTGTTAATAATCAGTAGTGGCATGATTATGCTACTCCTAATTGTGGAAAACATGATTATTCTTCTGTGTTTATAATATACTGTTCTGTTGTTTGGGTTATTTTTTTTTGGGGGGGGGGGGGGAATGCATTTTACCAAATGTTGGGTTGAAATATGTGAATAAAAACAACTAACAATTTGTGAAGTATAGAGTAAACTTTCAAAATTGAATTTAGAATGGTTTTCGACTGTTTGTTATACTCAATTCATAGAGGAATGAAATATATGTGAACAACTTTTGACCATAATGGTCCAAAACATCTTTTAGTAAAGATTAAATATTAAAAGTTATTGATTATGCACCCCATTTAGTAATATATTTATATTGTAAATGCAGTTTGTTTTGAATGCAGTATGTTCACTTCATTTCCACCTATCCACAGAAGTGAAGCAACCAGTGCGAAAGATTGAGAAACAAGCTCTGCAGGAAAGCTTTACGGTGCAACAAGAGATACAATTCCAACAACCACAGGCCCAAGAGGATGTGGCCGCTGTGCAATACTTTGGTGAAACAGTGCAGCAGCCACCTCAACAGGTTATTTTGTCTGCAAAGGTGGTGGAAAGCAAGCCAACTATAAGCCCTGAGGTAAGTACCAACAATGATGCTTGTTATGAGTGTGTGTGGTTTATTTGGGTAGTTTTTTGTACAACAACTTGTCCAACAGGCTATTTTAACAGCAAAGGTGGAGGAAAGCTAGCCAACTGTAAACCATGAGGTAGATATCAGAAAAATATCACCATGGGAATCTCTTATTGTAGATCAATGACCAGCGATTTCCTGCAACTCACTCTTCGGTCGTTCCTTCCCCAATAGATCATCCAAGACATCACTAAAGAGTTGTTCTTGGAGGTTGTACACCATGGTCGTGTTCCCTTTCACCTCAGAGTTTGATGTAGATCATCAAAAACTCAGAAAGGAATCCCTTATTGCTGGTCATTGGCTAATGTTTACTTGTAACTCACACTACAATCTCTATCGGTTCGAGACTCGCCGCAGCACTAATGTCCTTCGGCAAGAAATTGATCTACATTTGCCACACTCAACCCAGATGATGTAAATGGGTACCTGGCAGGAATTGATTCTTTGAAATGATAGAGCGCCGTAATGGCAGCACAGCTAAAGCTGGGGTAATAATCTCCAAGTTTGGAAGCGCTTAGTGATTGTAATAAGCACTATAGAAAAACTTAAAAATTATTATTATTATTATCTTTGCTATGATTAAGGTCGTCAAGGACATCATCCGAGATATCTTCTTGGAGGTCATCGACGAGATGGTGAGAGACCTATCAACGAGGTTCATGGGCACCCTGGCTATCATCCAGGCATCACCCAAGGTGATAGCAGAGATCATAGATGAAGAACTGGGTGCCTTGAGTCGTGGTGTCGCCAGGGAGACGCTCGATGAGGAGCGTTATGCTGAGGCCTTGAGACGAGAGCAAGAGATGTAAGGATTGACAGGAGTCACTCAGCTTATTTTTGATTTATGGAACTAACCCATTTTCATAGGGCAACAGAGGAGTTCTTGTATTAAAGCCCCACTGCACTATTTATAGCTACTTGCGCCCTCTATAAAGCAAACAATGCCTAATCGGTGCCTGTTGGTCCCCCATGATCCCCTTTTTCTTATGTTAATTCAGAGCTGATTTGATGAGATAACCACCTGCCAGTGACCTTGCAGGGGGGTCTAATATCCCCCTGGCCAAACTAGTGTAGACCGGCTTTAACAGGAGTCACTCAGCTTATTTTAGATTTATGGAGCTAACCCATTTGCATAGTGCAACAGAGGAGTTCTTGTATTAAGTTTAGGGCATGACAGAATCCAGTTGTCAAGGGGTTAAAAAGTACTTGAAAAGTATGTTTTTAAATGAAAATGCATTAATCATAGAATATGGTACCGTGGTAAAGAAGACAAGTAAATAGTGTAGGATCAAAACCCCTCTAGCAGTATGAATGGCGTACATGTGGGACTTATTCATAAGTGTAGTCATATCAGTGAAACATACAACATCTCAATGTAATTTATGAAGGCAGGTTGTTGGAGTTCAAACTGAAAATAGATTGTGCCTTTCGTGTTCTAGTGCCCTGATAGATCTATTTTGTGCTTGTCTTTTTTTTAAACAGGAGGGCAGCAGAAGAGGCTTCGAAGAAAGAGCAAGAGTTGAATGCATTGAGACAGGAGGCTAGCAGACAGATAAGTGAGGAGATCGTTGAGGAGGTCGTTGAAACAACACTTGAAGCGATGATTGAAAAGGAAATAAGGTACAATTTTTCATAAATCATAAAAGTAATTACGCCCGAGTCACACCACCAGAGTAACACCAAACTGTCCAATAAGAGACAAAAATCTTGGCTATTTGGGATAATGTAATTTCTTGTTTAGTCGCACATCAGTCTGGTGGTAGTCCTCTTGGTGGACTAGGATATTATTTGTAAAAGACAGTGATGAATTGAGGAGGTCAATTTCTGGGATGTTTATTATGACCAGTTTCCAAGTTTCCTCATAAATGTTATTAGCTTTTGGATGTATATCTTCATCTTTACCAAATTTACGCTTGAATATCTGTAACCCCTTTATCTGTAAACCCTTTTTGGTGGTTTTTGCAGTGTATATCAGAGTGAGTTACATAGACAAGCAATAGAACGATGCAGCTCCGCCGTCTCAGAAGAACTTCTCCAAGACCTGGTCGAGTCAGAGGTCACCAGCATATCCCATGAGGTCATTGCTATGGCAACGGCTGAGAGAGACAGGAGACTTGAAGAGATTGCAGAGGCTTACAGACTTAGACAACTTGGTTACCTTTATCAAAAGTAAGTCAATTTCTTATTTTTCATCCTAGAAGATAAGAATATAGGTGTCTATGACCTAGGCCCTGTTTCACAAAACTCAATATCAATAACAAGTTACAGTATCTGTTATAAGCTTCTGATATCGTGGCATCTGATTGGCTGAGAGCTTATTTGGCATAGAAATTTAGCATTGATTATTGATAACAGGTTTCATGAAATACGGCCCTGGTTAATAAAGGTGACTTATAAAGTGCATGAAAGGTCAGAAATGTGTTCCAATATACATTTATAAGTAAGATGTATCCAACGAATAAGAATATAAAAACAGAAATAGAAATGGAGACTTTTGTGTATACAGAATTTTCTGCATGTAGAAATTAACCTACCAAAATTTGCAAAGAGAGAAGTTTGAAAATGTTGTAAATTTAAGTATGTTACCATCTGTTGAATGCCAGAGTGATGTTAATTCTATGTAAACATCTATGAATTGATGCCTTCATGACTCTTTGCATAAGACATATAATGTTACATGTAAAGAATGAAAAGAATCTACATTGTATGAGTGGCTGTCATCAGTTTTCTTTTGTAATGAAAACCTTCCCTGCCTGCCCTCATGTGTTGTACAGATGGTGTCGTGTTCACTCTAAGAGACTAAAGATCCGTCGTACCCTGGAGACCTTCCCTGCCGGCCCGCCCAATCAGAACACCGCCGAGCAGCTCGAGGTCCTCTGGCCTAAGCGACGGGAGCAACCTGGGGGAGCTGACCCAGACTCGACCTCGAGGTCGAGAGTACCGTTACCCATGTCTCTGGATACTCCTTATGGGTAAGTGAACCGCATCATTGCCATGCCTTGGGTGGCAAATACCTCCGAAGAGTGTATACACCAGCTCGTAACCTTCACTCAACAACTGATAAATTAAACTAATTATTCCTAATCCAGACTCATTCTACCTTAAATATGTCTTACTGTGGCTGAATAGCTACATTTCTCTTCCTGAAACAGAAACAAATAGCTTCATTGTGAATCCTATTCCCATGGAAGATCAAGTAATACCAATCGTGACGATGAAATGATTAAATTTTAGCTGAATTTTACTGTTAATGTCATTTACGGCAATTGCTCTAAAACTTGGTGGCGCGGAAAGATTAATTGACCTGTACAATGTATCAGTCATGTAGGCCTGTTACTCGTGTTAGGTGGATCTCTCAAATATGATTCTGCAAGTCTGTCTTTGTTTGTTTTACTGATATGTAGCTTTATTACAAATTTGATTGAGAGGGATTCTAATTTTTATTATATCCTTGTTGCTTTGCAGTGTTGTCACCGAGAGGGAATCGCTCGCCAAACACATCATGCACCACCACTACCTTACCCTCGTCAGACAACAGAGGGCGTGGGAGCCTTTAGACTTACCCGTCATCCACAGGGACAACAACCATCCTTCCCAGCATGCATCTAGCCCAACATGGCAGGATGGTGCTTCGTGCCGGTATTGGAAACTGATTGCCTCGCTGCCTCAAGGGTCACATGATGACAGGAGCCCTTGTCATTGGCTGAAGGCTAAATTGAGGCGTGGCAAGATTTCGAAGGAGCTGAGGAGGAGCAGACTCAGAGATAATGAGAATGTAAATTATAATTCAGTCTATCTTCCTCAAAATCTTTTGACCCAGCAATGCCCAGTTTCGATTGCGAAGGGCACATATCAGGGTATTTTCACATGTTTGTGATTGGATCTCTGTTTTGTTTGAAAAATAATTAGTTGATCTATAAGAAAAGGTATGGGAATAACTAAATCTGAATTCTGTATAAAAACAATACTTGCTTTAAGGTATGCACAGTGCATTATCTCATAGCAGTTACCTAACAGACTTATAATATTTGATTTCTAGAGTTATAAAAATGGTATTGTGAGGTACATTTTGAAGGAAAAGAGTGAGAAGAGCCTGAGGAAAAGGAAAAATTTGCTTTGTAATCTTCAAAATCATTAAAACAACTTTTATGTTGGACATCCACTTACAAATACTAACTTCTTATCTCATTCTCCCTCTTCTTTTATTTTTTTTCTTTCTTATTTTGCTATTAATTCTGTGAACTTTCTCTCCTATTTTTCTCTCTTTTTGCTCTCACTTTCTCTTTCTCACTTTCTGTCACTCTCTCTATCTCTTCTTTCCCTCCTAACCCCCATCTCTCCCTCCGTAACCCTCTCTCACCCCATCTTCTCCCCTCTCACATTCTCTCTCTCTCTCTCTCTCTCTATCACCTTCTATCTCTTTCTTGTGACTACTGGACCTCTCTGGTTATCACAGGTTGAGACCCTGAGCCTGTACACACAGAGAGCTGGATCCAGGCCAGTGGGGATCTGTACCAAGGCATTGATGGGACCCCCTGCAGGGAGAGATGCCAGATACCAGCTGACTGGAAGCTCAGGGATCATTCTCGTGGTCCAAGGTGAAACAGAGGTGAGATTTACCGGACAGAGAAAGAGAGAGGAAGGGGGAGGGAGACAGGGAGGGGATGGGGACCCGGAGGGGTGGGAAAGAAGGATGCCAGATACCAGAGAGTAGCAAATGAAGATTAATGTCTTTCCGAAGGGTATTAGTATCACTGCGGGACTTGTACTCAGACCTGTGTGACCCACAGTCCAGTGACTTATCCTCTAGACCATCAACAACATCATTTTTCCTTTGCAAAACAATTTTCTAGGCCTGTTGTAGAGATGCCCAGCATAGACTGAACGCGATCCTATCTCAGACACCAAGAAGACCACCTCTCCCCATTCTTCTGTGTTTAATAAGTGACGAAGATGTGACAACATTCCAGAGCAGCCTCTCAGAGTACCTCCAGTGTCCTCAGCTCACGCGTGAAGGAGTGATTGCATCTTGGAGAGTGATCAGGCTGCCAAGGGATGTTGTGAAGGTTGAAGCGTCTGAGCAGGTTAGCAGATCATAGTTGATATTTTTTGTCCATTTTCAAAATAAATCTTTGTGCAATCGTAGATCAATAGTTCAAAAGGTGGTTTACATCTAAACCAACGGCTAAATATAGGTAAACCATTGTTTTCTTTGAATGTCAAAAAAAGCACCCAAAAAAAAAGACAAGGATAAAAAAAAATTATTGTAGAAAGATAAGCACAGATATGAATATAACTCAAAATATGTTTTTCCTTCTTTACCTTCATATGATTTGTTTGTGTTTTCCAAAAAACAGAAAAACAAAAGAGGCAGTCCCTGAAATGTTTTCATTTTACTTGAACAAATCTATTACCAAACCAAACGATTTGTTGTGTGCTTGGCATTAAGGCTTGATTTTTTTTAAAGGTTCATAATACAAAAGAGAGTCAAGTTAAAATATGTTACAGATGTATAACCTACTAGCATTATTAAGTTATCTAATGTATGAATTAAATTTTGATATACAAATGTATTGTCAGAATTGTGAAATGCATTTTTTCTTAAAAATGCATCCATTTGACTCCTTCTCCTTCTCAACTTACTGTTACAAAAAATATCCCAACCTTGATTTGTTTTTCCCCTTCAGCTTGAGGAAGGTATAGCATGGCTAGCCTCTCACCATCCTAAACCAACGTCCGTGGTCAGCGAGACGGTCAAGGAGTACCTGGACAATGGTCTGTCACAGTTCTTCAGCATCAATGTCCACCAGCTGTCCAAGCAGAGGAGAGAGAGCGGGCAGTTTTTACTGGTCAGTACCAATTATTTTACTCCTTTCTAGCATTATCTAGAGAATCAGGCAGCGCCTTTTTTACCCAGAGCTACTAGGAAACTTAATGTTATATGTCTGATATTGTTTTTGTTGTTTCTTTGTTTTGTGTTGTTAAGATAGCACTGAAGTATTATCATCATATTACATTGTAGTGTCTTGAGTGGTATTATTTCAGAAAGTGTACAGTAGAAATACTTATTGTTGTTGTTGTTGTTGTTGTTGTTGTTGTTGTTGTTGTAATTATTGTTATTATGATTATTATTATTATTATAAATTATTATTATAAACTATATCATTGTTTTTATTATTATTATTTGATAACAAAACCAACTTTTGTATATCTATATTATCTGTAAAACCTTACATGAAAGAATGGTCTATATACATAGGTAAGGAGTCTTGAGTAAAAATTCTTCTTGTACAGATTTTTATTTTGTGTCAATTTCGTTTCCAGGGGATGAAAAATATGGTCTTTATAGGCAGGCAGTCTTCTGTGCAGGTAGCTGCTAAGGCAGGTTTTGGCCAAACTACCTCTAAAGGAATATACAAAGATTATAGATCAAACATGTATTATCCACTACGAAAACACATGTATTATAATTTAAAGATCATTTAATGCTATTTATTTCAGTCACCACAGTCCATTGTGAGTCTGTATAACTCTGTGATGAGTCATCTATCTTCTGTAGCGAGCTCTTCATCCCTGTCTGACATCTCATGGCCTCCTGCAGAGTTCACAGGTCACCAACATCCAGGTACTTTAAATATTCTTTGGTATTCTTCCCCATTTTAACACAAAGTGTTCTTATTAAATGATATTGGGAAGTTTAAATTGTACATGTATTGATAATTATTGAAAAATGTGTGTATATATCCAAGTCTCCATAAGATGGGAGCATGTCCATGTTATATTAATCTGTTCAGTGTTAGGCCAGAAAAAAAAAAGTGGATTACCTTGAATACCTTCTCCTCTTTAACGATGATATGTTTACAGCTCCAAGTTTCACTATGAGAGAAACTATGATAAGTACAGATTGAATTTTGTGATTTATTAAAAAAAAAAATAATAATTGTACATTCACAGCTATTGATGTCTTTAGAATTCCTTTCAGTGATAAAATTATGACTGTTTTAAGGAAAAAAAATCTAAACTTCTTACCGAGTTACACATAGCAGGTAAACAGGATTTCAAGCAAAATCACTGATTTTAAGCTACATGTACATGTACATGTAAGAGAACTCTTAACTAAAGTCAAGAGTGATCTCTCTTTTTTCCTGTTAATACTAGGAGATTTTAAAGCCTGTCTGTACTAGTTTGGCCAGGAGGGATTAGACCACCCAGCTAGGTCACTGACAGGTGGCTATCTCATCAACTCAGCTCTCAATTAACGTAAGAAAGAGAGGATCATGGGGGACCAATGGGCACCACTTTGGCATTGTTTTCTATATAGAGGGAGCAAGTAGCTACAAGTAGTACAGTGGGGCTTTAATATGTTTTGTGTATTTTTGCTTTTGATTTATCTTTTATTTAGACCTCCCTGCAGCTGAGTGGAACACCCCTACCACTCTGAGTCATCTCTATACATCCATTAACATCTTGAAGCTACCTGAGGTGCCTTATATAGAAGACAATGGTAAGCAAACCCAAGATACACCATTAAAATATAATAATTGCTGTTTAACATCATCTTTTTAAAGCATGAAGTCACATTCTCCTTTTGTTTATTTTATTTATTTATTTATTATTACATTTCATAACCTTTTTTTATGTTTTCTTGTGTTGTACTGTAAATATAACAACATTAGTCGCTGGACTTTTGCCATGTTCTTTTGTTTTTTATAACCAAAATTGAATTGAATTGATGAGAAAGTTAATTTTAGGGAACTGTTCTTCAGGGTGTCCTTCCCGTGTTACCTTATTTTGCTCTGGAAAAATTGTCTCTATAAGATCTGCGAAGTTGAATAAGAATTATCAATTTGTACATCAATAATGTACATGGAGCAGAACTGCTCTCAGAAGAAAACTGATATTTGAAGCAATGACCTTATCTCATTTTTTTTATCCAGACTGGTTATCAGTTTGCAAAGCTTGTGCCAACTATGTGAATCTACTTCCAGGCAGAGACAGTGACAAAGCACCACTCTTATCCAGGTAATTTTCTTTCACTTATTCATCCATTTTCACCCTTCTATCAGTGAATTTTCACTATCCCTCTGTTTACCTTCCTCTTTATTTCATTATTTTCCACAACTTTTTGATAACTCATGTACTACGTATTTACAGACAATAAAATACCTGTACATGTACACAAACATGTTAATACATGAACGCTCGTTTGTAGGTCGTCACAATGTCATTTAGTATTTCTTAGTATTCATTGTATGCACCATTTTTATGGTTTACAAATATTTGCTGCCTACAAATACACAGAAAAGTATAATTGTAATACCTCTGCATGAATTCATTTATGGTGCTCCCTCCAATTTAAACATGAAAATATAATCTTGCACGTAGAAGGTTACATGTACATGGGCAAATATCAAATGCCATGAGTTTTTGGTGCTTAAAGGGATCCGGTAACTTTGTCTCAGATTCTGAAACAAAATCCTGGATTTAGCTCATGCTGCAATGATAATTATAAACCTTTAGGTCAGTCAGGAATCCCATGGCATTTACAAGCCGATTGCCTGTCTGATTATCAAGATATTTATGATTGGAAATCGAAACCAAATTTTGTGTTTTCCTTACGGTTTTCATGGCTCTATGTTCTATTAGGGAAAATGAGTATGGTAATACCGGTCACTCAAAGTTTGTTACGTTTTTGAGGCACTTCTTGAACACTTTGAAGTACAATTTTTTTTTAGGGCTTCAATATGACACCATATCACAGACACTGATAACACGTAGGGCCATGCATCTCAGGTTTAACATTGTTAAACGATGCCTTTAAAGGGCAGATGTAAGTTGATGACAGTTGCATTCCTCAAGTTTGTTGTTTCTTCATTGTGATGCAGAGTGAGATGGCTGCTGGACAAGAGCAGACGAACCTTTGAAGATACCTGCTTTGTGACCTTTGACACGGAAGGATGTGAACCCACCTCCCAGCATGCACCGTGGGCAGACATCTTAGAGGAATGTGTGACATACATGATGACAACCCTGTCCACTAGACCAGAGGGTGAGATGGAATGTTTTATTTTCCTTCCAAAAGTATAATATGCCAAAGTTAAAAAAACTAAATAAAGGGATCGGGTATCTTTGTCTCAAATTCTGAAACAAAATTCTTGATTTAGCCCATGCTGCAATGATAATTATAAACCTTTAGGTCAGTCAGAAACCTCATGACTATTACAACCCAATCGCCTGTCTGATTATCAAGATATTTATGATTGGAAATCGAAATTTCAAAATTTGTTTTCCTAGTATTAGGGAAAATGAGTATGGTAAAACCAGTCACCCAAAGATTGTTACTTTTTTGCGGCACTTCATGATCATTTTGAAGCGCAAATTTTCAGGGCTTCAAAATACACCATATTACAAACACTGATAACACGTAGGGCCATGCATCTCGGATTTAACATTGTTAAGCGATGCCTTTAAGTGATTGAGCATATTTTAAATCCTTTCTGTGCCACAAAGTTGATGACCACTTGTCGTAAATGAACTTTGAAGTGTTTAAAATGGACTTTTAATGAGTTGTTTTCAAAAGGAAATTGGGTATTTTGCTTGGGAATTTACTTAACAATAGTGGAACCTGTTTTTTCTGAGTCAGGAAGAAAAATAAGCAAATCTGAGTCCAAACTATATGTTCAACCTCTCACATTTTTGGGTGGGAGTGGGATTTGAATCCTTCGAATGTCAGCCACATAGTTTGGAGTATTATCCACTGACGGCTGTCCATGGTTTATTCCATTAGTCAACTGAAGCAGGAAGTGAGTTAACTCACTTATTTTTATTTCCTCTGCACTTTCTTCTTGTTAATTTGTTATATTCTTTGATTTAATCCCATATTTTTGTCTGCTTTCTGTTCAGGAGAGAGTCCATCCCCGGGCAATCAGCAGGTGTACTTCCACCAGTCTGAGTTTGGTAGCTTTGAGTTTCCTGTCCAGTGGAAGCAGGAGATGAACGAGACTTTAGAAGAATCGGTGGTGGAACATGAAAGGTGAGTTATCACTTCTCTTTGATACAGGGTAGATAGTTTAGACCCTTTAAAGCCCCACTGCACTACTTTATAACTACTTGCGCCCTCTATATAGCAAACAATGCCAAATCGGTGACCATTGGTCCCCCATGATCCCCTTTTTCTTATGTTAATTGAGAGCTTATTTGATGAGATAACCACCTGTCAGTGACCTTGCAGGGAGGTCTAATCCCTCCTGGCCAAACTAGTGCAGTGGGGCTTTAATAGATGCATAAGGTAAACATGTGATTCATCAGTCTATGGGATGGGATGTGTATTATGCATACAGATATTGTTAATCAAGATGATACGTGTAAATAAACCACTTTCTTTGTGATTCCAGCATGTTTGATTCCATCATGGAGTCGGTGTCAACACGTCGGTCTACCCTGGCAGATGAGGACTCGAGGGAGAAGGAAGAGAGGAGGAGGAGAAGGGCGGAGGAACGTCTTCCCGACAACACCAGCTTCCTTCTTCCGCAAGATGTCACCATGACGATAAGCCACACCCAGAGTGGTCTGCTCAGGAGGATGTTGGATAAGGAGCGAGAAGAGAGCCTCAGGTATTTAGCTTAATTTGTATTTTTTGCCTTCCTGTTACCTCTTATTCTGCCACAGGGCTAATCCCCATTGTGCCAAGCCACAAATCCCCCCAGTGCCAAGTTAATTTGAGATAATCGGACGAACGTGATGGTACTATCATGCAAGAAGCAGCGAAGCAGTAGCTTGCTCGCGTGTACAAAGCACTATAACGGTAGCGTGCATGCAAGCTTATGGCAGGATATGAGTTAATACATGTTTCCCTGTTTGCAGTCACACTCGAGCAAATGCCAATAAACTCTGGTATTGATATACCTTCGTCATTCGGCAGCTACTATGATCCAGTGACTACCACATATAGTCACTTCCCCAGGTTTCATCTCTGCTGAGAAGTTCTGTTGTACTTGGCATTTTAAAAAGAATACATGTGCCTCCACCTGTGTCTCTTTGAATACTAATGAACAATAATTATACAACTTTCATGAGCACCTATCCGGTATCCATCTCAATGGGTTTCGCAGATGCGGTACAAATGACCTTTGTCTGCCCATGTGCAGAGTGTATAATAATAATAATAATATATTCAATTGTAAAGCGTAATGAATATGTGGATATATTCTATTGCGCTGCAAGAGCTCGTAAATGCTGTGCTATACATACTATATGAACAAGTGAGTTTTCAGTCTTGATTTAAAATTATCTAGTGATGGGGCTTTCCTTATTTCTAGTGTTAATTTATTCCATAATCTAGGGGCAGCACAAAGAAATGATCGGTCTCTGAGGGTATCTAGGAATTGGCTTGTTATGACACGAAGGAATAAGTTGACAGCATATCATTTTTCTTTTTAACTCTAGGTTTGAAGCCATGCTAACAAGCTTTCTAGAAGAGCCCGTGGAAGAACTGCCGCAGACACTGCATGTACAGGCTGACAGACCAGAGTCTGAATTTAGACTACAGCTTCCACCCTTTCCAAACAGAACTCCAAAGGTAGGCACAGTGTATTGTAATTTATTCTTTGTCGTTTCCCCCAAGGTTTAATGTCATCGAAATAGAATCTGCCAACGCCATGAATTGCCCTTACACATAATTACTGTTGTTGTCAATATTCTGTGCACTTTGTTTAAAGATATTTTTTCTCTCTCTTTTCCTCTTTCCCTCCCTCTTTTCCTCTTTCCCTCCCTCTCTCTTTACCATCTCTTTCTCTCTCTCCCTCTCCCAACCTTTCCTCCCTTCCACCCTTCACGTCTCTCTGCCTTCCTCTCACTTAATCTCTTTTTCTTTCTTTCTCTCTCTCCCTCTCCCAACCTTTCCTCCCTTCCTCCCTTCACGTCTCCCTGCCTTCCTCTCACTTAATCTCTTTTTCTTTCTTTCTCTCTCTCTCTCTCTTTCTCTCTTTACCATCTTTTTTTTTCTCTCTCTCTCACTTGCCTTTCCCTCATTCTCTGTCTTGCTCTCTTCCTCTACATCCATCTCTCACTTTCAAGGCTCTATCTCTATCAAAGTCCCTGGAGGAACCACACCCTCGGACCGACGCCCCGGTCATCACCTTGGAAGAAACAGATGACTCGCTCTCCGATCAAATCCAGAGCCTGAAGGAGAGACTAGCCTCTGAGAAACAAGCAGGGTTGGTGGCTGAAATGAGACTAAATGCTCTACTTGGGCTTTAGCTGCTACTGTGAACCCATAGCATCGCAGGACATGGTGCTTATGGGCATCTTTAGACAATTTTGAAAGGGGGATATTGGAACAAATGAAGAGAGCACATAGGGGCAGTGCTCAAACACAATGAGTGATTTCAAGTTTGGTGTTAGTGTTAGTGTTTAGAGCAGTCAAGAGCTCTTAAATCGAGCGCAAAATTTGCTGATGAAATTACGAGCCCGATACCGATATCAAAATCAATAGCTTAACACCAGCCGTGACGTCACCACATACTTGATTTCACGACAATGATTTAAAAATAGTACATCAAAACTAAAGATATCATGCAAAGTACATAATAAATTTACACCTATTTCTCTGGTCTTATAAAAAACTAATTTTACACAAAAGAATATATGAATTACCTGTTTCACATATTTTTATTTGATCGTCAGACAATAAATTGGCGTCGTTCGTGTGTTGACTGTGTGCGGGTACAACACTAACACCGAACTGGAAATCAACATTTGCTTAATCCCTAGGGGCTAGTGTTAGTGAATAGGACATTTGTACGTGAAATATTAACACCATCCACAAAGGTCGGTTCAGCAGACGACAATTTTGCAAAATCGATAACACTAGCTACCGGAAGTTGACGATATTCAGAGGTCAAAGCCTTAACACCAGCTGATTTCCATTTAGGTGTTTAGGCTGGTGTTAGTGTATATTAAACACTAACACCAGCCTTAAACACCAAACTTGAAATCACTCATTGAATAGGGGTACGGTACCGAATGTGCTGGAAAGTGAATCTATAGAAGTGCAAGATTTATCCACAAGTGAGGGTAACATGATGTCTTGGAACTATTTATACAAAACAAAATTGGTTATATCAGATTTCAAGTTTGCAGACAAAATAAGATAGTCAAGAAAATTACAAATTTGCAAATGATGATCATCAACTTGTTTTGTCACATAATTTTTACTTCTGGATGTGATATGTGAACTTTCAAACCAACCGACCAACCATTTCTAAACAAAGTTTTATGGAAACAGTAAATGGTTTACAATCAAGAACCAGCAATATTTCTTGTGAACCCTTAAACTGTCCTAACTAGCCTCCTAGTTAAATTGTTGTTGTCCCAACTTTGACCCGACACATTGAATATAATTTTGACTGATGAGGATGGAGAAAGATGTTATTATTTAAGTACTTGCATATCATGTCAGTTGTAACCAAATCATGCCATTTGTGTTTTCATTGTTTTTAATAAAAAATGTCTTTATATTGATATAGAACTATACCTATAGATGTATTTATTCATTTTGTTGGAAGTAAGATGGTTTCAAAATCAAAAGGTATTAACACCCTATTTTTAGTTTTTCAGTCTCTTCATTCTATCTATCTCTCTCCATGAATCTCTTTCTCTCTCTATATATATCATTACATTTATCACTTTCTGTACTTTAGTGCACTCTGTTAGTTGCTCAAACCTTCCTCTATCCCCTGTATTTCTCTCTCTTTTTTCCTCCCTTCTCTTTCTTTCTCTGTCTCTCTCTACCTGTCTATCTCTTCCTCGTTTCTCTCTCTCTCTCTTTCTCTCATGATCTCATGATCTCACTGCATCTACATACTCTGTATCTCCTTGCTACAAGTATCCCCCTTTTTCCTTACACCCCTCCTTTCCCCTCTCTTTCTTTCTCTCTCTATCTCTCTCTCTCTCTTTGTGTCACTCTCTCTCTCTTTGTGTCACTCTCTCTCTCTTTGTGTCACTCATTACATGTTCCTCTCACTCCATCCTTTTCTCTTCTCATTTCAGTCTTTGTTTGTCTTTTCTTCAAAACCTCTGAACTTTCCCCCTGGAGGGTGTTTCATAAAGCTGTTCGTAAAGTTACGCATGACTTTACGAACGACTTGTATATGAAATGCCAGATAGGATGCCCAAAGTTTTTTCTGATATTTCCTATAACCTAAATTAAATTATGGCAAAAAATATACTTTGCATAAAAAAATGTTTGTTCTCATAAGAATGTTAATCTACATCTGCACAGTGTAACTTTAGTTGATGCAGTTAATCATGATTGAGCATCCCATTTGGCTTTTTATATACAAGTCGCTCGTAAAGTCATGCATAACTTTACGAACAGCTTTATGAAACACCCCCCTGGTCTCTTAGTTCTCACCCCCCCCCCCCCCCCCCCCAGCCATCTTCTCCCAATTACCTCTTAACTTCTAACAGAGAGACACAACGGTTCAGTGTTCTTTGATATATCATTTAATAGTGATTTCATGCAATGTCAACAAACTTTTATATTAGATATTCCTTTAATTGTCCATGTAAATTACACACCAACCACAGATATGATATAATGAAATCATCCACATATACATTATACATGCCAACAATTATTGCTGTTACACTGCCCCATAACAATAATAAAGTATCCAATTAAAGATGATACAAAGTTTTGGGAAATTTTGAAAATTGGCTGGATAGTGACTCTTTACAATTTTGTTTGGATGCCCCTGTGAATGTATTATAAGCACTAGAAAATTTAGCCCCTAAAACACTTCTGCTTTCGAGAAAAATTGAATATCAAAATTTACCGTGCTCCCAGTAAATTTTGATAAATTTCAAATAGCGCCTACGGCCATACAAATGGTAGCTGCGACCATGACAATCTCAAAATATGTAGTTGTGTAATATAATTTCCAAACTGTAATAGCAAATTGGTCGATTTTAGTCAAGAAACATTGTTTTATAGCTAAATAGATATCTTGACCTTGAGAGGGAGCTCTACAACATAAAGAGTTTATTATTTATGATTTCATCACTTTAGACTCCATTTCAAACGTGACAACGATCACTAAATATTGTAGGATCACATTTGCTTCGGCAACATGTTCATTTGAACCAAATTCATGACCCCATACCAACACTTTGTGTTACCTTTAAGGTATTACATTTAGAGGTGTATAGGTGTATATATATAATTATAATAAATAAATTGAAAATAATTGAGGTTATAAATCAATTGTAAATAATTGAGGTTATAAATCAATTGTAAATAATTGAGGTTATAAATCAATTGTAAATAATTGAGGTTATAAATCAATTGTAAATAATTGAGGTTATTAATCAATTGTAAATAATTGAGATTATGAATCAATTGTAAATAATTGAGGTTATTAAATCAATTGTAAATTATAATAGATAAATAGATTTCCTATAGGAACTCAGTGTTATATTGCTCTGGTTCATAACATTACAAGCCAGAGCAATAAACACTGAGTTCCTATAGGACATCTTTTTATTCAGATGGTCATATCTCAGCCAATACTTAACATATTCAATTGGTTTTCGACATTCAGACATTATTTGTGATGCTCTTTCGGAAAATGAAGACAAAACTGAGAAATCCTAAAATAGATTTTTATGATGTCGGAGCTTCGGTACTCTAAAGCATGATCCTCCAAGTACTATATTGCACAAGATGGTGGTGGTGGCTAACACGAGAAGAAAGGGTTCTCGTTAATACACAGCACTACACGTAGCTACATAATTTTAATTTTGATTTTAATATATGGCAATATAATTCGATAACCATAATTAAACATTTCATTCTACGATCTTCAAAGTTGTAAACATGAAATTTAACAATACTTTCATATATAAACTGGTAGTTAACAAAGGAGACTGAAGCTTGCTGGAGGCTTATCTAACATAGCAACAGCTGACCAGGGATCTACCAAGTATATTCCTTCAAGTTTATTTTGTTCATCATATCGTGGAGTAGTGGCATTTAAATACTTTTAAATATACTTATGCCTCATTTAAAATCTATTTCTTATTGAGTCATCGAAATAATCTGAACAGTAACATTCATAGCCACCATCCATTATTTCATTGTTATAACTGTTATAATACTTTTGAAGGAAATCAAACATGTTTGACAAGTTTTACTGAAATAAGCTACTCAGATTATACCTTGATTATGGTTTTAGAATTATCGTCATGTTTTATCTGACTCTCAGATTCTTCATTAGATCTGTTTACAGCATTTAGATTCATGGGTGATGAACGGTTCTTCTTCACTGTAAAATTGATTTCGTTTTGTTTTTCTTTGGGAAGATTAAAACTTCAGCAATTTATCTTAAACTAATGAAATAAACCACTTGCTTTTAGAGGAAGCACTACAGAATATATTTTTGCTATGTCTGAATAACGTTGTCGTGTGGTAATTATCATAACGCCAGGATTAAAATCCCAAATCCAAGGATGAAAAAAGAGCGTTCAGAAGTCCGAAAAACCCGCTGAAGACCAACCCTACTGGAACCCAGTTGCAGGCGTCGGACCGCCCTCAACGGTCACGGCGTAGACGGTGCGTGTGCCAAGGCTCTGAAGGTCACGGAAGTTATTTTCCATGGGCAGCTTGTTGCCCTCATCGTCAATCGCATCGCTCATCATTGTCCGCAAGTTGTTCAGCTGTCGAGATCAACACAAGAAATTAAGGCATCGTAAGACAAAAATCAGTTAATAAAACTAATGTCTGTATCAAACGGGATAATATGTAGCATATAATATTAATTTAGGCCTATAAACAAAAATGTTGTATTGCCCTATAGGTGCCAGCACCTGGGTTGGACGGTTGTTGTTTTGTCTTTTTTTTTGGGGGGGGGGGGGGTTGTTGCCTTTTTTGCTTTTTCGGATCCCCTCTTGGGGCTGATATTTTTTTTGTTTTCTTCTAAAAACGGTTTTTAAAAAATACCCTCATAAAAGGCCGACCGTAGATTTTGGGGTCGTATCGGTCGCAAAGGGCAATACAACAATTTTCTGTTTGTTAAGCAAAGCAGTGATTATATAGAAGTAAATTGGCAAATACGCCAGTAACTCAACGAATTGTTGGCAATTTGCCTTTTGAATTTTCGCTTTTGTACAAAGCGACTCTGATATGGCGCGTCCGACCCTGATATCTTTACTGCTCGAGCCTCAAACTAACTAATATATTTTTCATTTCCCGCTGATAATAATAATGCGAGTTTCGTACAAAAAATCTATGTATTTCTCATTTGTGAAATAGATTTTCAAAATCGACTTCATTTTGTGAAAGAAGGGCGTTCCATTGAATTCGTTAGAAATGACAACTGCATCTGACACGTCATTTAAATAGTTTTACTATATCATCCATAAATAAATGTATATTCCCAGTATTGTATCATAAATGTAACATAAATATTCACTCGACTGCAGATATAATTTTAATCATGATCACTAATGCTACGGTCACAAAGGTTCGTACGAATCTCCCTGTTTTTCCATCTTCCCAAATTTTCATTGTCTGAAAATCGTTTGTACGGCGTTCGTAGCCGTTCGTAATGGAATTTGTGACCGATTATTACCTGATTATTTGAAATTTCGATGGTGTCTTCAAAGAGAGTCCAGGTCACGACTTCGTTGCATAGAGGGGTAGTCAGCGAACCGTCATATCGCCAGAATTTATCAAGCGATGATGGTAGCAAGTCAGAAAGTGTGAAATTTTCCATCTCTTGATGCGTATCTGATAAAGACAAAATTGAGAGGAGATTAGATATTTTAAGATTTAATTTTGATTTCATTATGCAAAATATGTGTATTATAAGAGTCAATTAAAAACTGCCAGTCTACCATACGTGTATTAATTGGCCTACGTAGGTCCTAACGTTCCCCTTTCCATCAGTGCATAGTTCTTCCTTATTTTTTCCATGTTTTTCTCTATTTCTTTCTTTTCTTTATTTTATTCATTCATGACTGTGTTGTCGTTCTTTTTCTTCGTGTAGGTATGTATATATTTGTCTTTTCATTTTCATTCTAATTCTGCAATACTAAATCTAATCAAAGCTTTTTATCGACTAATACATATTGGCTATAATAATATTTGAACATTTTAAAATGGAAATAGTGTATCTCACTTACGAGGTTTCACGAGGATAATGGCATCGGGCACTTTTAAAATCAGTGCAGGGTTATCATCCTCACTTACCTAAGCAGTGAGAGAGAAAAGGGAGTATCAATTAAGCAGGGCTTTCAACCCTCCCGCATTTGGCATACATAGGAGCATCACTATCCTGGCTGTACGTGTAGTAAAAGCTGTGCTTTTGATTCTCAACATTTCAAAAACCACTGTACAAAACTCAACTGATTTCACTAAAAATCGGTACTTTAGTGACAATTGATGACACCTAAATAACAATAAAAATACATTTTTTTAAACTTACTGATGTTAAGAAGAATAATTTAAAAATTCAAATTGTAAGTCTAGTGTCAAACTTTGCTTACAGCTGCATCGACATGATTGTGTACAGTCTATGCAATATTGTGTGGTGTGTGTATTTGTGTATGGGTCTAAAAATACCCGCCTCACAACAAGCATGCAGTGCTAAAGGTCAATACGCATTGGCATTGACTCTCTATGCTTTGCTGGAGTGGCATTTGGAGGGAGTCTCACGCCACCACGCTCATTCTCCCACCAGCTCGTAGCTGGAGACTCCCGCCACCACGCCCTTCCTCCCGCTCTCCCGCAATCTCCCGGTTTATGAAAAAACCTCCCGCCAAACGTGTAAAAATGAACCAGCGTACCGTATCGTATGCAATTATTTTGCTCAACGGGCGTTGGGGGGGGGGGGGGTAGTGAGCAAACATTTCAAAGAGTGATGTAATATAGTACAGTGCATAGTGTAGCAAATTTTCCCGCAAATTTTAGTGGTAGTAGTAGTTGTCGTCGTCATAGCATTATTTGTTGTTGTTGTTTCGATAGTGGTGGTGGTGGAGGTGGTGGTGGTGGTGGGTTGGTAGTAGTAGTAGTAGTAGCAGTAGCAGCAGCAGCAGTAGTCTGTGAATCGTGCATGGGACCGGGGTCTTAACATGGCGTTAAGCCCTTCTGGCTGTGACAGCTGTCAGCAGACAGTAGTAATATAATACAAACCTCTAAGAAAAATCCGAGTACTGCGATACCTCCTTTTTTCTTTATAGCTTCGTTGACACTACCGTATGCTGTATCGTAATGAACGATGTGCATCTGTAGAGAAAGAGAGAGAGGGAGAAACAATTCTCATTAATCGTATTATTCCTTCCTTCTTCCAATATAATTATATCAAGCGCAATATTTACATTGGTAACTCCTCCTCCACCCCTTGTATCTGTTATACTCCCTCCTTTAAGTTGTCCTCATAAAATATTCTCTGAAATTTCCGAATTGAATTATGAAGAGACAAATTCATCACGCTAAAAAGTAACACTAACAAGAAAGGAATGAATTCGTCCTCCTTCCCCTGCCTATATCTTCATCCAGAAGGTTTAATAACATACATAGACTAAAAATAATTTAAAGGTATAATCAAGACATGTTAATTTCAATATACGGATAAGCAAAGCCATTTTTTTTAAAAGTGACACCAAATAAAGGATATCGAGATATACGGCGACAGCCATCGAGGGCCTTCAGAGAGTAATTTTTATCGCATTGTTCAGAAGGCCGACGGCCAATGTAACCGACAGCCCACGAGACTGACAACGTCGGTCTCATGGGAGTTTCTGAAACCTTATCAAATTGTTCACGATACCGACGGCCGATGAGACCGATAGCCAAAGAGACCAACAAGTTCGGTCCTGCAGAAGACTGAGTCCACGAGACAAACGGTCAACATGTCGGTCTCGAAGGTCTTCTGAAGGCTTTTCTGAGGGTTCGCTTGACCGACATCGCTGGTCTCGTGGACTGTCGGTCTCTACTGGGATGTTCCATAGGTATAAACATGTACATACGTCAGCGGGATAGCGTTTTCCATCGACCGTGTGTTCTGATCCCTTCATGTCGTTAGAACCGAAATGGAAGTGGAACTGGACAGCTCTGAATGTCCCGTTCAGCCCACCACCGGTAATATCGTACTGACCCTCTCCAGCGCCGTTAGATAATACAACTTCCACTGAGGTGAAAAAAGGGGTAACGCCATACGACGGTGAATTAACTCAAAATGATCCAAATTTCGAAATGGAAAATAAACTTATCATTTTCAATAATGATGCATGGATTTTATTCGCACCTCTGGTCGGGACAAATGTCCTGAAGCACTGTCGTTCGTCCTGCATGCTCAAAATGAGAAGATTACCATTTTTCAAATATTTTGGTCAATCAGACTTTGAGGTTCAGGGGGGTGTTTCACAAAGATCCTAAGTAGAACTTAACACTAAGTTGGACTTAAAAATTATGGACAGCCATTGGAGCCTTAAAATGAAATATATTCAAAAGCAGAAATTCAAGTATTTTAGACTTTTTATAAATTCCACAACAAGAACATGAAATCTCCTTGATGATAGAAAATATGAATGATTTGAATCAACATTTTATGCCTTTCAAAATAACTTTTACAAAATATTTTCAAAGATGCTATTGGCTTTCCATAATTTTTAAGTCCAACTTAGAGATAAGTTCAACTTAGGATCTTTGTGAAATACCCCCCAGGGATGGAAGACTTTATAAAGGCTATAATTCAAGCCCTGAGTCTTCTTGGGAGATGAGGGCAAGACCACAATGCCATTAAGGTTTTGAGATGGGAGTTTGTAGATTGCTTAATTGAGCTTTGCGTGGTGCCCACTTAGTCTCTGCTATCTAGGGCGTGTTTATGCTTAACTTTTTCTGGCCAGAATCAGGCATCTGTTACGCGTTTAGTTTAAAACACGGTTGCGTCCATGCTCACCTTTGTAGAATCCCCGAAAAACGGCGATCACGATCGCCGATCGCAAACTCACAAAAAGATGCGTTTACAATTCGTAAACGCGTTTAAATGGGGTCAACGCACTGACCTCTAGTGGGTCTACGTAGCATGCAGAGTGAAGGTTTGTGAATCCAGCTGGAAGACCAATTAAGGCCACACAGGGAGAATTGCCTGGAGGAGCTTGAGAAGTGAGCATAAACGGAACTGCGATTACGATGAGCGTTTACGATGAGCGTTTACGATGAGCGTTACAAATCGCTCATTCTGCCTTCAAAATTAAGCTTAAACGCACCCTTAATATACATTTATCATCATAAAGAGAGGTATAATCAAAGGAATTAGAGTTATCATTACCAATATTACAAAAAATTATTTAAGGGTGTTTAGTTACCGTAAGAAAGAAATGTTTATTTTGACTTTAATCACATTTCAGAGTCCTTCGATCTTTTTGGTGATACAACATAGGCTCCGGTGACATTTTCTTGGAGCCATATTATTTGGAGGAAAGATAATAGGGTTGTGGAGCTTGAGATATAGGTAAATTCTAGGGTTAATGGGTCCAGAGTTGAAGCTGATTGGACAAGTGTACGTAAATAAGTGAGCAGCCATTATATTGTCGCTGGAGAGTGTTGTGTCGTAGCGTAAAACCATTTTTCTTGGACAAAACTCACATGCATGACCATTATTTTCGATTGTGACAGGCTTGGTGGTGTCGTACGACTGAAGATTGAATGGAGCCAGTCCGATATCGCTGGTCTTTTTTGTGTCGATGTTGATAGGCGACTGCGAGGAATCACCACAGAATGATCCGGGGATGTCTTTCCAAAACTCTTGATCTGGAAAAGTATTATTGATGATCATCCGAATATATTGTATGATATCTTTTTGTTTAATTGTCTATCATACACAATTACTATTTTGTCGAAATGCGCTTGAAGCTGTTTGATATTATTACATATCCATGACATTCGCAAATAACATTCTATAAAGCTTCGTACTAAAAATATATATATAACTCCTCTTTTGACTATCATTATCATTATCCTTATCATCATCCGAATTAGTATTACTTGGTTCTCCTCATCATCATCGTAAGTATATGTCGTCATCACAATCACCGTCATCTTCATCACCATCACCAAAATCTTCATCATCATGAACAAAATTATTTCTACCATAGCCATCAACAATACCGGGCAACAATACCACCATCACCACCACCACCAACTTCATCGTCACCATCATCATCACCTTAATCATCATCATCGTCACCAGTATAATATCAATATTGTGATATAAAACAACGGCATTAATATAGTATTAATGACTGCTGTTGTTTTTATACGCTCAAGGGAAGGTTACAATCGAGCTATTGCCCTCGGCAAGCCTTGGGCATTATATAACACTGTTTATCATTATAGGAGGTGACATACAGTCATATTCTAATAACAATTGCTTCACCTACTTTAAAACGCGTTATGCTTGACGAGCCAATTCCACTCAAATGATTTCAAGATACTGAATATACATTATTGCATTTAACTACTACATTTACATTCTTTTATGATTGTTGATGTTTTTTGCACTAAAAAAGTTCGAGACCACTTACCTGTGTCACCAGCTCCTGCGTAACTCCAGTTATCTATGGCTAAAAGAATCGAAAAAAATGTATGAGAGATTAAAGATTGACGAGATGGTTTGAGTAATTCCATTATTCATTTTTTTACGCGAAAAAGTACGTTTTGTTAATAGAATTAATCTCCTGTTTGACTTGTCTTTTCTTTCTTTCTTTCTCTCTTTCTCTCTCTCTCTCTCTCTTTCTCTCTCTTTCTCTCTCTCCCTCTCTCTCCTGCACTTCCACTCAAGACACGTTATTAGTCTACACGCTTCAGCAGTTAAAACCAAAATTCTTATGACTTACATCGGTTGAATGCAATATATTAATACATCTGCTTCTTACATGTTTGTCTCACTATGAACATGACGGACAAAGAAAGCGGACAAAATATACAGTTCCTCAGGTAGATAAAGGAACATCCCTTCACTGCTATTATGTAAAAAGGTGAATATGCATGTGACACCTGTTCTACACATGTTTACATAATAGCAGTGAAGGGATGTTCCTTTGTCTACCTGAGGAACTGTATATTTTGTCCGCTTTCTTTGTCAGACATAGTCTCTACCCGCCCAAACATACAATGCGTATGGATCATCTGGATTGACAAATACCTATCTATCTTTCATTCCATCCCGATCAACTTACCCAAAATAATTCACCCCGGACACACAACACCTGCACACAATCGGACTATACCACGACCCCCAGCCAGACAACTTCCTCCTTATATCCCGGACCACTATGGCAAAGATTCCCCCACATTAATATCGTCGATTACTACTTGAACTGAACTTTTGAGGTTAATTCAATTTTCTTTTTTGTGATTTTTCGTGGGAACGTTATCGTAGAAGTTTGTTGTCACAATGTGTGGTTGTCCGGCAGAATGGAAAGCGTTGTCCGGAGTAGTTGTCCGGGGTAGTTTTACGGGTGGGTTTTCAGTATTGTTGCCTTTAAATACATATAAATACAAAAGTATGGTTCCCCTCCACTGATATTGGAGTAAAGTAGAGAAACTGGTAAAAATAAAAATAAAATAAAAAATTATAATGAAAATAATAATTACTATTGATCGATCTCACATTTTATATGATCGATTAATAAATTTACTTGAATCTTTGGCTCATTTAATTTGATTATTACAGCATATTAGTTCAAATTAATTATAGATGCAAAAATAAATGTTTTAATTAATAAAATATATAAATTTAAAGATAATTTATGAATTATAATGCAATTTTGATGAAATAAAAATGCACTTTATATCCTTTCTTAAAAACCAACCATTTTAAAGTATGTAATTTATACATAGATGAAGTTAGGTTTCCATTTGCATAACTACTCTGGTTTTTCTGCAATACGCATAAATCTTTCGCCTTTTACTAAAGATTTCCGTGCAGAGGAACACATTGATGAGTCTATAAAGATTTTTCTCTGGTTCGCCTTCATCGGCGAGCCTTGCAATCACCCCAATGTAAAGATAGAAAACAAATTTCAACCCAGTCAAACAAATGCTATAGCAGTCACATAAAACAAACACTGGCAAATTATTATTCAATACTATCTGAAAATGTATACTATTATCTAGGTCTATTAGGAATAAATCATTGTCAAAATAATTCCATAACTTGGGGTAAAACAAAATATTCTAACTATATGAGCCACAGTGTACTTTGTTTCATTCATCATGAATTTAAAGGATAAATATCATTTTTGTTTTCTTTCTATTTGTCATCATTTATTAATTGAATAATACATACATAAGAAACATATTGATTACAAAGAAAAACATGCATTATACTTATATCACAAAATTAATCATACTTTTTTTTTAAAGCTAAATTAATTAATAGATTAAAAAAAAACTACATATTTTGAATTGATATAATCACATTGCTTGCCTACAATAATTATATTACTGTATTCATTTTTTTCATAATCAAACAATACTTCTGTTTTTCTGAACAAAATTAAGACTTGTTCTAAAATATTTTTGCGTAATCACAATCATAAAATAAATTATATCAATTTATTGCGCATTTGCACTACAAACAATAATCATGATCAGATATTTTGAAACGATATAGTTGTGTTATCTGCTAATAAGCTAATTTTCACTTGAGTACCAGGCCTACTCCTGATCCAGTTAATTGAACACCTTGAATAGCTTCATATGATCTAATCTAAATTGCTTATATTTTGATGACAACTAAAAACAATAGAGCAGACACTGGTCAACCTTGCCGAAAACCTCTTTGCAGAGAAAATATTTATAAATATGATTCGCATGATTCCAAAAGAGAGGGGGAAGAGAGAGAGACAGTGGGAAGAAAGAGAGAGAGAGAGAGGGGGAGGAGAGAGAGAGAGAGGGGGAGGAGAGAGAGAGAGAGAGGGGGGAGGAGAGAGAGAGAGAAGGGAGGAGAGAGAGAGAGAGAGAGAGAGAGAGGGGAAGAGAGAGAGACAGTGGGAAGAGAGAGAGAGAGAGAGAGGGGGAGGAGAGAGAGGGAGAGAGAGAGAGAGAGAGAGAGAGAGAGAGAGAATGCACCGGTGAATTTAGAATTTATAACTCAAAGATTTAATTTCAGACTCAGGGTTGGTGATGAGCATTTGACCATACGGTACTCGCATAAAAAAAGATTAAGGAAAAAGATGTCTCAGATATAACAGATCCCAATTATGGAATGAAATCAGGATATCTTCAACTGTATACATATTCACAGCTCAACAATTTAAGAAGTTTATTATCTACCTTAATTGGAAACATATTTTTGTCCAAATGTACCCATATTGACTTTTCTTATATATCTCATGTATTTAATTGTTTGTTTGTTTATTTTTCATGTATTTAACAGTGTATTTCTTTGCTTGGAAGTTGGTAGTTGACTTGATTTGTAACTGTTTTAGATGTGTGTGGACCCGTTTGAATCCGCCCCACATGTGGAAATAAGTTAATAATAACAAACAAAAAAATTAGGCAAAAGTGAAACCAACTTAGCAAACAGCCTTTCAATATCTGGATGCTCAAACGAAAGCGTATTGCATTTTGATTTGAAAAACTGTCACGAAAACCGCAGACTGTCTATTGCATAGCAATGTGAAACGAAATATGTTTTTTCTTTTCTGTGGTATAATATTTAATGTGTACAATGTGACAAATGTTTTTTTCAATTTGGCTGGATACAATGTACGGGCAATTTCAACCAAAAAAATATTATATCACTGTCTGTTGATAAATTGTTTTTGTTCTTCTCAAGGACAGATGGCAAAATGTAATTATTTTTTTTAATTATTTAATGAGGGGCAAAATGTACCTGCTCCACGTGCAGTAGCATTGGAGGGGTCGATTCGAAAATTGTATAAGAGACACTACCGATACAATTATTTTTATACTTTGAAATGATTCATTTATTATCAATTTTTTTTAATGGGGTGGGGGTATCTCGGTCCCTGACAACGTTAGCTGCGACGCCAATGCATGAAGATGTATTCAGGTTTTTTTCTTTCTTTTTTCTTGTATTTCTCTCCTTTTAATGAACGGTGACTATTTTCCCAAACACGATATCTCATGAAGATGGGTCCCTTGTCCTTCCAAACTCAGTTGGTATAGGCGATCCAGCATGAATTTAGTTGTAGCAGGCCCTCTTGAGAATGTTATTATCTGATGCAGACGAGATCTGTATCGTAATGACAATGTGTCACTAGTCCCGTCACCAGAAAGGCCTTTGAAATTCCTTGATCAGCACCTTAAATCGTTTCGTTTTCTATTTGATTTTTTCTTCTAATTTGAAGACATGTCATGTCCAAACAACAACATTCGCACTCTAAAGTTGTGTCCTACTGGGAATTTCTCTATTTTAAATGAGTAGTGAATATACGAAATTTAATTGATTAAGCTCCCCTGGTCAAGATTTTATTTGGGGGCTCTTCTTCATTTTTGTCTTCTTCTTTTTCTTTTTCTTCTTCTTCTTCTTCTTCTTCTTCTTCTTCTTCTTCTTCTTCTTCTTCTTTCTTCTTCTTTTTCTTCTTCTTCTTCTTCTTCTTCTTCTTCTTCTTCTTCTTCTTCTTCTTCTTCTTCTTTTTTTTTTTCTTCTTCTTCTTCTTCTCTTCTTCTTCTTCTTCTTCTTCTTCTTCTTCTTTTTCTTCTTCTTCGTCTTCTCCTTCCCCCTCCTCCTCTTCATTTTCCTTTTATTCTTCTTATTCTTCTCCTCCTCCTCATGAAAGTTCATGTTGATCAAATACAAGTCGCTGATTCAAATATTTCCTCTACTTTATCTGTGCAAAATTGGGGTGTCATCTTCGAAAGCATGACGACAATGCATATTTCCAATGAAAAGAATTTGTCAAAGTGTGTATTCCGAGATAAGAACTGTCTAGAGTACTATTAAGAAGGTTCTTTTAGATAAAGCTGCTGCTGTAATCGTTCACGCATTTATAATATCACGGTTAGATGGTGGAAATTTTCTGCTGTTTGGTATAACTCAACAGCATCTAAAGAAATTACAATATGCTCAGAATTCTGCTGACACGTATTCTTTCAAGAGGTAGACATTTTGACCACATTACCCCTACACATATTGCACTAAACTGGCTTCCTGTAAAACAGAGAAATTAATACAAAATTATTTTATTAACATGGAAGGGAATGCATGGATATGCCCCTGTGTACATTTCAGACTTGTTGACTATTTTATAACCCTCGAATTAGTTTGCGATCTGCAGGTAAATACCTACTTGAGAGTCCTCGAACACGCTCTCTTCTAGGGGATCGATCATTTACTGCCTGTGCATCGAGATTGTGTGGAATGGTCTTCCCCAAATCCTTCGCTCTTGTTATCCACTTTCAGAACTCAAGTAAAGACATACCTATTTCAGATTGCTTACAATTAGTCACTGCTTTTTGTTTTTCGTGAACAGACATTTTTGAATCGTGAACAGACATTTTTGGTAGTTTTTCAGTCTCATCAGCGCCTTTGATTAGGCAACTGGATATCTGCGCTTTATAATTTATTGGATTTGAATTGTCATAAGGCTTGCATCGTTTGAATCACGAGCTTGATTCGGATCATTCAGATCTAAGCTAAATTCGTTCTCCTAAAAAAAAATATATTTTTGAATGAAATGTTAGGCTTAATTGAATAATGTGCCGGGAAAAAATGTTTTCCCCTATTGTAAATTTTATGTTACCAAGTAAAAATAATTTTCTTTTACGACAGTGAGTCTCCTACGCCGCTTGTTATTGTTTATATCAAATTGTTATTAAATGTTAAGACTACCGTGTTCTGGTGTTCTCAATTCAATTGCTGCCAAAGGGGGGGGGGGGGGTATTTGTTTAGAAGTAAAATAAAAAGAGCTTACTGATAACAGCTAGAGCTGGTCCAAAACAAAGAACAGAGGCGAGGAGGAGAACGCTGAAAGGGGTCTTCATGTTGTTAGCTTGGTTTCTAAAACAAAATTGTGAGAAAGATTGAAATAGTTCCTCCGGTGCACCAATGGGCGTGATCTGTCAGCCAAGAGCAACAATACCACTATCGAATGCGAAGCACGAAGTGATGGAATCTCAGACAGGTAGCCGAGTATGCGCTGTACTGTCCTTCGTGCGACAGAACATTGACCAATAGGAAAACGCTATGGGGCAGGGGCGTCGCTGTGCCATTTTGAACATGGGTGCGTTAGGAAAGTGGCGTAGTGAGAATCCATCAGTTGAAGGGGGTGGTGTCAGTGGATTGAGGGGGGTAGTCAAATGTTGTGAATCAAAATACGACAAGCAAACCCAACTCGTGAGGGGAATGTGGGAGGAGTCTTATATAAATTGTATCACCTTGTTAATGTTGCCTCTCCCCTCTTGCACACACCTACACACACACGCATACACACGCACGCACGCACACAAGCACGCTCTCACACACACACACACACACCATGGCGATACTCTTCTTATCTCCATGCATACACACTCTCTCTCTTCTCCCCTCTCGATCTACCCACCCTTTCCCCCTCTCTCTCTCTCTCTTCCTCTCTCTCTCTCTCTCTCTCTCTTTCTCCCTCCCTCTCTACCACCTCTCTCTGTCTCTCTCTATCTCACTCTCTCACTCTCTCTCTCTCTCTCTCCTCTCTCTATCTCTCTCTATCTCTCTCTTATATATATTTTTTTATTTTTTCTACCGAAGAAAACAAATATGAGAAAAGCCTAAGTAGAATGTACTGACAAAGGCGAAAAAAAATAGCCTCAAATTTTCAAAATCGCCGACTGTATTTGGCACTCAAATGTATGGATACAAGAAATTGATAATAGGACGGCAACACAACAGGCCGAAATACTATAAAGACGCCCCTTCATAATATTATGCCTTTGCAATGCACTCTCGCCTCCTGTCGCTATGAATATTGCTGGTGTGGTCAACAGAAACATTTATGTTGACATTCCCCTCCTCATTTTTATAACTTAATGATTCACTTTTGTTTGCTTTTCCTACTTTTAAAAGCGTCAAATAAATATTATGCAGACTCTATTATCTCTATAAAGAATACCCTCCAAACTACTAATGAATGGTCACGTTAGTAATAAAAACAAAAGACCTATAATATCCACCAGTAAGTAGCGTGTTTTTGTTTTTTCGATTTTAGATATTAAGTAAGTAAAAAGAGAAATTAATACAAAATTATGTTATTAACACGGAAGGCATTGCATATGCCCCTATGTTCGGTTCATACCTTAAAAAGCATGTACACTATATATAAATTCAGAAATTAAAGTTTAGCTTGTTCTGGCTTAAAGCCCCTCTTAAGTGTTGCGTTCTCCAAAGATTTGATGGCAAAAATTTACTTAAATTGTATCATAATGTGAAAGAGGATGTACATTTCTGCGAAGATTTTAAAAACATGTGTGTTTGAAGTCGCATATTGATGAAAGAATGCAAAATTTAGGTTTTCTACGTAAACGACATCATTTTGTTACATTATGATACAATTTAAGTGAAATATTGCCATCAGATTGTTGGCGAATTCGGGATCCCAACACTTTAGAGGGGCTTTAGTACATGCTTGACTTAATATGCAGTGGTTTTCGATAAATTACTTTTTGTGTGAACGTCTTGTTGTTTAATCATGACATGTATTCCAATAAGAAGAACAAATCAAATAGAAAACGAAACGATTTGAGGGGCTGATCAAGGAATTTCAAAGGCCTTTTTGTTGATGGGACTAGATAAACATTGTCATTTCGATACAGATCTCGTCTGCATCAGATAATACAGATTCTCAATATATAGGGCCTGCTACAACTAACTTCATGCAGGATCACCTAGACCCATTGAGTTTGGAAGGACAAGGGACCCATCTTCAGGAGTGTTTGGGGAAATAGTCACCGTTCATGAAAAGTAGGGAAATGCAAGAAGAAAAAAGAAAGAAAGAAAAGATTGAATACATCTTCATGCAGTGGCGTCACAGCTAACATTGTCAGGGACCGGGATACCCCCCCCCCAAGAAAATTGATAAAAAATGAATCATTTTTAATGTATACAAATAATTCTATCGGTAGTATGTGAGTGCCTCTTATACCATTTTCGAATCGACCCCCTCCTCTGATACTGCACGTGCGGTAGTTTCGCCCCTCCTCTGTTTTTCAATATCTAGATAGACACACCTCATTACATAAACAAAATAATAATTACATTTTGCTATTTGTCACTCAGAGGAACAAAATCAACAGATTTTTTTGGTTGAAATTGCCCGTATGTTGTATCCACCCAAATTGAAAAAAACATCTGTCAAATTGTAAATATTTAATTTCATACCACAGAAAAGAAAGACCATATTTCGTTTCCATACTTACACATTTTTATGCAATAAAAAGTCTGAGTTTTCATAACAGTTTTTTAAAATAAAAATGCAACACGCTTTCGTTTGAGTCTCCAGATAGTGAAAGGCTGTTTGCTAAGGTCGTTTCACCTTTGCACTAATTTGTTTCAAAATAATAGTTCCACATGTGGGGTAGATTACCATTTCAACTTAATTTGGTTTTCAAAGGGGTCCACACACATATAAAAACAGTTACAAATCATGTCAAGAAACAAGCAAAGAAATAAACAATTAAATACATGAAATATACAAGAGATAACGAAATAAACAATTAAGTACATGAGATATACGAGAACAGACAGTATGGGTACATTTGGGTAATAAGAGGATCTGTCCAGTCAAGGTAGATAACATACTTCTTAAATTGTTGAGCTGTGAATGTGTATACAGATAAAGATTTCCTGATTACATTCCATAATTTGGATGCCCTTTATCTGAGACATCTTTTTCCATAATTTGTTTTTATGCGAGTACTGTATGGTCAAACGCACATCACCAACCCTGAGTCTGTAATTAAATCTTTGAGTTATTAATTGACCGGTGCATTCTTATTAACGCACTAATAATTGATTACATTTGCATTATTCTGTAAAGCAATTAATATACGCGAATTTTACTTAGCGCCAGTTGTTTAACATAAGTGTAGAAAAGCGCATCGCATTCGAGTAAGTCGAGATTAAGATGAGTACAGTTTTAAAAAATGATGTCTAAATTCACGGTTTTACGTACTTCAATTATTTCCTCCTTGTGATACGCAGTCATAAGGACACACAATTATGATGATTGATCAGAAGTTAACTTAACTGCATGAGAATTATTTTATATGTTTGTTGCTTAGCGATGAAACTTAAAGGGATAGTTGAGTTTTGTCGCAAAGGGCGCTACACAAAATAATTTTATGTGAGATAATTAAAAAGTGAGTGTCAAATTTGAAAGAACATACAATTTAAATGACAAAATCATCAGAGACGGCTGACATATCCATAAACATAACGATTTCTAATATTAGTGGAGCCCCACAATAATTTGAACCAGCGGTTGAAAAAACGAGATAGCGCCTACTACGTTTTATTCCAGCCATTGCCGATATTTTTTTTTTGTGTGGCTTTTTCGTGTTGGATATAATTATAATCAATAATTAATCAACGGTAACCGTATTTTTTTTTAAGTGGAGCTGAATTAGTATGATCATATTGGCTAAATTTCAAACATTTTGGGGTCTACAATTACCTTCAAAGCAATTTTAGGTCCTAAAAGAGCACTAGAAATCTCATAAATTAGAATTAGAGCAATAACCATGAACTTTGAAGGCATTTGCGGTCTGATACAAATATTCAACTATCCCTTTATATGCATCCGAAACGGAAACTTAATTAAGATGACTGTAGTAATTAATTAATTATCTTTCACTCGTGATCGAGTGGATATGTCACCGGACTGTCGATCACAAGGTCCGCGGTTCGAGTCCCGCCGCGGCACTAATCTCCTTTGGCAAGACTTTGATCTACCTTTGCCACACTCAACCCAGGTGATGTAAATGGGCACCTGGCAGGAACTAATTCTTTGAAATGCTAGAGCGCCGCAATGGCAGCACAGCTAAAGCTGGGGTAATAATCGGGAGCGCCAGGAGTGTCACGTTTAACAGACATGTGCGCTATACAAGAACCCACTATTATTATTTTTTGTTTAAATATTTTTTTGAAGTATTGATTCCAATAGATTAATTCTTATTGTAAGACTGACTGAATTGAATTCCCATTTCCAAATCAAGATGTTCTCTGACTGACTGAAATCTTCCCTTTTTCAGATATTGTAAGAGAAACATGAAGTATACAAACAAATTGTTATTTTTCTTTCATTAGAGAGATCATTAACAAATCAACTCATCATATCCGTACAAATCTATTTCACCAATCAACTCATCTAATAAGGAATATTCAAAAGAGACCCATTTTTGATCCAACAGACGATAATATTTTTTGCCAAAATTAATGATCTTCTTATAAAAGAGTTTGTTTAACCGATGATCTTCTAAAAGAAGGTCTTTTTTGCCTGGAAGTCTTTCAAAATCGTTTAGGACAGGCAGGGGCGTACGCAGGATTTTTTCAAGGGGGGGGGTTTAAAATCTGGCCCAAAATATATTGCTCCCGAAAATTTGAAAATCGGGCCGGCCGAAAAGTCGTTCAGTGGGGGGGGGGGGGGGTGGGGTAAGCGGACACTTTTTTTTTTTTTTTTGGTCTCGGAATTTGAAAATTTGACATTTTTACTCATTGGGGGGGGGGGGGGGGGGGGGTAAGGTCACTTTACGTTAGCCGTGGGCATAATTTTTTTTTTTCACCTGGCAACAAAAAACAAAACAAAGGGGGGGTTTGAACCCCCAACCCCCCCCCCCCCCCCTGCGTACGCCCCTGAGGACAGGTTCTGTTTTATTCAGCGGAACAATATAACTACTCATTTTTGCAAAAATGAAGTTCAATAACTCCTTTAAAATTCATTCTAACAAATGCACGTTTGAATCCCTCGCAAATGGCATTTTGAGATTGAGATGAGCTTGGAAAACCCAAAGGCACTTTTAATCCATCTTGGAAATGGTAACATTTTTATCCAACGGGTTTGCACTTACTTTTGGACGCATAATATATTCCAAGGTTATTCGAAATGCAGTTCGTAATTCGAGTCTCAAAGGCAGACCTATAGGGGGCGCACACCCCCTTTCTTTAACTAAGTGCCCTCATAACCTGCCAGTCTAAGATTTTGCTTTAATAAACCTGCTGTATTATTTCTAAGCAAACATAGACATTATGAGGTGGGTGATGGGATGCCATCGTGCTAACGCCATCTACGAATAAAAGGAAGTGAATTTACAACAAGTAGTAGTTTGTCAAACCACTAATTGTTGCCAGGTGAAAAAACATATATAATAATAATAATAATAATAATAATAGTGAACATTTATAATGCGCCATGTCTGTCAAAAATGACACTCCTGGTGCAGTTGTGTGGAAGTTGTATAATTGTGGGCAAGAATTCAAGAAAGAAAGATATACTTACCTATAATCTTCCAATAAGCTTCAGTTATGGAGCAGCATATTATGTGATATTCAATAACATTTTTCATTTGAAAATTGTGATACAAATTTAATCCCGTACCCCCATCTGATAATCTCTACACTGCCTTGTAATTAAAACGTGATAAAATGTGTTGTAGCATCATTATAAGCCCAAATGATATAATGCCCCAGATAACACCATAATGGAAAAATGAATTTATGGCATTTAAAAGACAATTTATAACAAAGATAAACATTATATCCCTGATTAAACAGTATAACTTTATTTTTATACATTTTAAAGTCGAAAATTCTTCTTGGTGGCTTTTAGTGATATGAAAACTTCTGAGAAAACTGCGATAAATTATCAATCCATATACGCGATTCTGATTGGTTAAAAATCAAGATGAGTTTAATCCCAAATTACGATGCACGGGTTATGGGAACATTTCTCATTATCAACTCATAAAGATTTGAAGACAAGTCCTACCATGGTGACGCGCACATTTGTTCAAATAATAGAAATCACATTCATGACTATGTCATATATTTGTATAGCGTTTCAACAAGAAATATACAACGAAGTGTTTTGTGCCATCCTCCAAACCTTATGTAAACTTATCAATGAGAGGACTAAAAAGTAATTTAAGCGGTTACCCCCCCCCCCCCATTACACAATCAGTGTTGCCTGTGTCACTATAGCGTAGCGACACCTTGTGACAGAACATTGCATCTTTACCCTATAACCATGCAACCGTCAACTTCTGCATGACATTCTGAAGGTGAGAAACATAATATTGAATATTGACAAAGGACCTCATTATTGCAATGTGTCTGAAATATCACCTTCACAGTCTGAGTCGTTGCATGAACAGGTGATTTTTTAATGTGGGGTAGATCCACAATGATTAAGCGCACATTATTTTGTTGAAAAAGGGGTCATGCACATGAGTGGTGAACGTAAGGTAATACATTATTTCTGACACAGAAACCGTGGAACCATGGATGAAATTAATTTGTCCAGTGTTGCAAGCTCGCAGAATTGCAATACGGGAAATTTGATATTCGAGCAAGATACGACCCCCCCCCCCCTCGATCCTTCTCGGTGAATATTACCCGTATATGCCTACGCCTGACCCTTTTTTCAACAAAAATGTGCCCTTAATAAGTGAGGATCTACCCCCACATTCAAAATTCCTCCATGCAACGCCTCTGTGTATGTGATATTTCAGACACATTGCAATAATGCATTGTATCTCCTTGCTCCCAGTATACCCCTTTTTCCTTACACCCTCCCCCTTTCATCTCTCTCTCTCTCTCTCTCTCTCTCTCTCTCTCTCCCTCTCTCTCTCTCTCTCTCTTTGTGTCACTCATTACATGTACCTCTAACTCCATCCCTTTCTCTTCTCATTTCGTGCCTTATTTTATTTGAAACCTCTGAACTTCAGCTTTCCATTTGTTCAGATTTCATTGTTTATCCTGGTCTCTTCTCACCCCCCCCCCCTGGCCCTCAGCCCTCTTCTCCTAATTATAATAACAATAATGATAATAATAATAATAATAATAATAAGAGAAGAAGAAGAAGAAGAAGAAGAAGAAGAAGAAGAAGAAGAATGATAATAATAATAACGTTTTATTTACCCAAGGTAGCCACTTTCAGTTATGAAACTACTCTTCCAGCGGGCCCTGCATAACATAATATGTTATTACTACCCTTCTCCAATCTAATATGCTGAGCGCCTAGCTAGAAGGCAGAAGGTTCCATTGTTATCAGTCGTTGGTATGACTCGGCCGGGGTTCGAACCCACGACCCCCCCCCCGCCGTTCATGAGGCGGGCTACCTAACCACTGAGCCACCATGCCCGGTCTTAACCTCTTAACCTAAAAAAAAGACACAACAATAAAGTGTCCTTTAATATTTAATTTTATAGTGATTTCATACAACGTCAACAAACAAATATTTGTATTAGATATTATTTTAATTGTCCATGTAATTTGCACACTAACCACAGACATGATTTAATGAAATCATCCATCTATACATTATACATACCAACAGTTATTGCAGTTACAATGCCCTATAACATTAATAAAGTATCCAATTAAGGTAATAGAAAGGCGTATAGGTATATATAATTATTATAAATTACTTGTAAATAATTGAGGTTATAACATTCCCAGTTTGCTTACACATTCTTAAACACACTTGAAACTGTTTGTATTTTCTACACACGACAACATAATATGTTTTGTACATCAATGGGGTGCTATTGTATACATTGACCCGGATGCACGAAGGTGGTTTATCATAACTTTTACTATCTAACCTGCACCGAGCTAAAACGCTGTCACAACTCTTACCCTAACCCTACGTTTTTAAATGCCAGTTTGGCCCACCTAATGATGCAATGATCAGCTGCGAACGGGTGCAAATACTATTGCATGTTGAATATGTTTCCTGACAAAAAAGGTAGAAAAGTCCATAGTACTGGAATATCATACTTTTAGACATTAGTACATGAATACATGTGTATGATGATATTGACCTTTGGAAGTAAGGTCATGCACAATGCCATGTTTCAATAGTAGTACTATACATGTATTTACATATTGTTCCAAGCAGCATAATTATACGATTATTGTAGATTTAGCCAGTTCTAGCTTATCCTCAAGTATAAGCATGATCCTCCAAGTACTATATTGCACAAGAGGGATGTGGTTAACACAAGTAGAAAGGGATATTGATACACAGCACTACATGCAGCTTCATAATATAATTTTTTAATAATATGGCAATAATATACGATAACCATAATTAAACATTTCATTCTACTCGTCCAGTGATCTTCAAAGCTGTAAACATAAAATGTATAAATACTTTCATATGTAAACCGGTAGTTAACAAAGAAGACTGAAGCTTGCTACAGGCTTATCTAACAACTGACAAGGGATCTACCGATCGAGATGTATATTCCCTCAAGTTTATTTTGTTCATTATATCGTGAAATAGTGGCATATAAATACTTTTAAATATACTTATGTCTGATTTTTAAAATCGATTTTTTTTTTTTTTTTTTTTTTTTTTTTTTTTTAATTTTTTTTATTGATTCATCGAAATAATCTGAGCAGTAACATTCATAACCATCATCCATTATTTCATTGTTATAACTGTTATAATACTTTTGAAGGACATCAAACATTCAACAAGTTTACTGAAATAAGTTACTCGGATTATACCTTGATAATGTTTTTTGAAGAATCGTCCTGTTTTAGCTGACTCTTAGATTCTTCATTAGATCTGTTTACAACATTTAGATTCATGGGTGATAAACGGTTCGTCTTCATTCTGTAAAATTGTTTTACTTTTCTTTGGGAAGATTTTAAGCTTCAGACAATTTACTTCAACTAATGAAATAAACCATTTTGCTTTTAGAGGAAGCGCTACAGAATACATTTTTGCTATGTCTGAATGACGTTGTCGTGTGGTAAGTATTATAACACCAGGATTAAAATCTCAAAGCCATGGCTACAAGAAAAGCGTCAAGAACAATCATCGCTCCTGGAGCCGATTTTCCTGCTGAAGCTGTAGGCGTCGGACTCATGCCATAGTCGTCGTCAGCGGTCACGGCGTATATTGTGCGTATGCCACGGCTCTGAATGTCACGGAAGTTATTTTCCATGGGCATCTCGTAGCCCGCCTCATCGATTGCATCGCTCATCAGTGTCCGCGTGATGTTCAGCTGTCGAGATCAACACAAGAAAGGCATCGTAAGAAGAAAAAAAAAATCAGTTTTTAAAACTTTTACTTGAATAAATGTCTGTATTAAACGGGATTCCATAGCATATAATATAAGTTAGGCCAAAAACAAAAGATGTTGCTCATTAGGTGCCAGCACCTGGGTCAAATGGTCAATTTTTTGCGTGTGTGCTTTTTTTCTTCTCTTTGGGCTGACATTTTTCAGTTTTGAATTCTTTCAAACATATTTTTTCTTCATTAAACACTTTTTCTGTGGTTTTAAAGTTTCTTTTTAAATAAAATGCCGACCGTGGATTTAAAGATTTTTGGTTCGGTCGCAAAGGGCTATACAACATTTTTTTTGTAAAGCCTTATAGCTGTTGTATACATTGCAAGCAAGACGTCATTTCGAGTGCGTTTTTACATGAGCAAATCAATGGAATCCATGACACATGCTCCCCCGACATTTACTCCGAAAAACGCGACAATTGCTCCGTGACATTTGCTCCGACGTCATTATGCTCCTCCGGCAGTCGCTCCTCAAAAAAAGAAAATTGCTCCATGGAAGACAAATGCACTTTTGGAACAGAGAGAAATTGTACCGTCGGCGGAGCTAGCATCATTTCTGATACGTCGGGGAGCATGTCTTCAATGGGGTAATTTTGAGGAGGAGCAATAATTATTGTCGTAGCAGCATTTTTGTTTTACGGGGCAATTTGGGGGCAGAGCAAAATGTTATCGGAGCAAATGTCGGCGGAAAAGTGTCGTAGGAGCAAATATCGCCGGAGTAACTGTCTTTCGAGAAGCATTTATCGTTTCATGCGGAGCAATCGTCGGCGGAGAAATATTCGGTGGAGCAATTGTCGCCAGAGCAAGTGTCGTAAGAGCAAATGTCGCGGAGCATTTGTCGCTTTTTGCAGAGGATTTGTCACCGGAGCATAGTTTCGTAGAATCGTAGATCTGTCTTTCCCTTGGAATGAGACTGTGGAAACAGCATGTCCAATCATGTTTGCCATGACTTTCTTTCCAACTGACACATATTCATGTGCATTCACTTCTGATGAAGCCACTACACCATTCACCACATTTCTTAACGAAGGATCTGGAGAAAATGGTGTGCAGGCTGCAAGCTTTTCGTTGATCCTCGACACCTCAGATGTGTCTCTCTTGATCATTGCTTCACTTAAGTCCTTGTGCTGCTCACTGGTGGTAAATGAGAGGTTTGTGAACTCTTTCATTGCACTGTTAGACTCTGAGGTCACAGGCATAGACATAGTCCATACTACTAATAATAATAATAATCCGATTTTTTTTTATATAGCGCTCAATACACCGATCCAACGATGTGCCTAAGCGCTTTACAGATATATTATTACCCCGGTCATCGGATTCAGGCTTACCCACTTACCCGCATACTGAGCGTTGTTCCTCAGTCGTGCCACTACCACGTGCTCTCATCAAGGTCTGTTCTATTACAAGATCAGAGCTGAGGCCAGCCCAGAACTGTCGGCGTGATAACTATCGGCGGGGCATTTGACGTAGGAACGACGAATTACATGGTATCCATCAGTGAAGTTTTTGTAGGTGCCAGGATGTTTGGTTTCAAGGCCCCTCTTTTTTGCGCATATTAATGTGCAGCTAGACTGTCTTCATGTAATCGAAATGCCCTAGATCTATGCGATCTACGGTAATCATCATTCTAACAACTTGTATCATCTTCTGATGGTTTAGCCACAACTGACTGGTCTTAGACCTCTCTTGCAGTTCCTTATTTTTCTTGTCAATTTCCTGTTTGATCGTAGCCATGAGATCAGATGTGTTCGTGTCTCCAAAGTTCTTTCGCTTGCCAACACCTCGGCCTGATCAACAAGCGATGCAAACTCGGGACTCTCATCTCTCATGGCTGTTACAAGTTCAGTTCCTCATTTTAATGTATTCTCCGCCCGAAAACCATAAGATAGACACCTCTTAATATGTTTTTTTTTTTTTAGTTAACGGCGGACATCTTGGACGCCATCTTGGATCTCGGGGTTTCCTAGACCATCTAAAAACATTCAAACTTGTCTAAATGGATTCTCTGACCTCTTCCCCCAACCATGGAATAGACACCAAAATTATGTCTCTAGGATGGATAATAAGTGATTTATGGCCATTTTTAGGTATCGGCGGCCATCTTGGACGCCATCTTGAAAATAACAGCTTTTTGAACCTTCGATTTTCATATACTTTTAGTATGTTATTCCTGAGGTCGAATACTACTAGAAACCTTTGAAAAACCTTTTGTTTCAATTTGGGGTTATTATTATTATTATTATTATTTATTCGGCAAAACAAAGTGTATACAGAGGATTACATAGAAGAACAAATCATACAAAACAAAGGATGAAAATCATCGTGATTCCCATGAGCATTTACAAGTTGCCAGGAATGGGGCAGGCAAACTAAATCACCGAAACCGTGAAGGTCCCCCATTCCGACTTGTACTCATGGGAGATCACTACATAAATACACTGTGACAAGTACTCTCTTAATTTCTAGGACTTAAATTTTAAATCCATTTTGAGACTTAAAATATTTCAAGTCTTTAAGACTTAATAAATTGGGAATTCGACTAAAAGTTTTATCGAAACCAGCTTCTAGATATAAATCTTGGAAAGACTTAAACTTCTCGCCAATAAGATGTGCATATTTCCAGTTGCACCTGTTGATGACTGACTGTTGGCATATTTCCAGTTGAACCAGCTGACACCAATTAATTTGCATATTGAATATGGGGTGCGTGCAGATCTATGTTTTTTTAACAATTTTTCTGAATTTACAGCATATTTCTTAATACTGATGATTTAGGTATATGCAATTCATTTCGAAAATACTACAAATATAAATTACAAGTTATTAGGACATTTCGCTACTTCGTATGAATTCCATTTAATTAAACATGAATAGGGAAACATTAACTATGAACTAAAATAATTTCAATAAAATACAAGTATATGAAAAAAAATTCGATTAATTTAATTATGTATAAGTCTACTTATTACCGATGCCTTTACATTGATAATACAGACGTACCAGTATTGAAGTGTTGTTGCCGTTCAATTGGTTGGAAGTTTTACCAAATGGTTCTAATGGCTTAGCTAGACCAGTAAATCTAAAAGACTTGAAATATAAATACAATTGACTTAAACTTTAAATCTTTCAGGGACTTAAAATTTTAAGTCTTAGCTTAGATTTATTTTTGAAATGAATCCAAGAAAGGTTTAAAATAAATATTAAAAGACTTGAAATATAAATCCAATTGACTTAAATTTTAAACCTTTTCAGGGACTTAAATTTCAAGTCTTAGCTTAGACTTATTTTAAATCCAAAGGGTTCGTCACTAATATCAGTCTCTGTTAGATTTAAAAGTAAGACTTTAAGATTTAAAAATAAGACTTTCAAATTTAGAGAGTAACAAGGGTATAACATCACTCAATGTGACAATGATAACAGAAGAAACTCAAATGTTTGAATGAATCAATAAAGTACAAATTATTTCATATGTTTTTTTAAGGAAAATAATAATGAGCCTTCAATTAAAAAAAAAAAAAAAAAAAAAAATCATATATGCCTTCGTATTGGAAAATTATAAAGTGGAACAAATACGAATGATGGACTCCGTCTTGGTAGCAAGATACAGGCTAGGGGTGTCCAGTTATTTTACATAAATATTTTTCGGTTGAATTAAACAAAATTAAACAAAATTAAAATATACAAATGTGCTTTTTGTTATATATATGAGATAGTTATTAAGGGGCAGAAATGCAAATGGTTGGCAAGAATTGTAAAGTACAAACTATTCCTTTACATTGTTCATTTTTAAACCAAGAATCGTACAAAATCAAAAAAAATTGCACCAAGAAAAAAAAAAATCATCTATGCCTTCGTATTGGACAATTATTAAGTGGAACAAATACGAATGATGGACTCCGTCTTGGTAGCAAAATACAGGCTAAGGGTGTTGAGTTATTTGACATAAATATTTTTGGGGTTGGGGTGTATTTTTACCGTATATTGACTCGACTAATGTGTCAGGTTACCAATCAATGATTAGAAGTAAATTGGCAAATACGCGAGTTACTCAACGAATTGTTTGCACTTTGTCTTTTGAATTTCGCTTTTGTACAAAGCGACTTTCATATGATATGGCGCTCCACCCTAGTATCTAAATTTCCCGCTGATAATAATAATGCGAGTTTTATACAAAAATATATTTTTTTCTCATTCATTAATAGATTTAAAAATCGACTTCATTTTGTGAAAGATAAAGCGTTCCAGTGAATTCGTTAAAAATGACAACTGCATTTGACACGTCATTTGAATAGTTTTACTATATCATCCATAAATAAATGTATATTCCCCGCATTGTATCATAAATGGAATATAAATATTCACTCGACTGCAGATATATAATTATGATCACTTACCTGATTATTTGAAATTTTGATGGTGTCTTCAAAGAGAGTCCAGGTCACGACTTCGTTGCATAGAGGGGTAGTCAGGGAACCGTCATATCGCCAGAATTTATCTAGCGATGATGGTAGCAAGTTAGAAAGTGTGAAACCTGCCATCTCTTGATGCGTATCTGATAAAGACAAAGTTGAGAAGTGATTAGATATCTTTAGATTATGCAAAATATGTGAATTATAAGAGCCAATTAAAAACTGTCAGTCTAGCATATACATGTATTGGCCTACGTAGGCCCTAAAAGTGATATCCCCTTTCGATCATGCAGTGCATAGTTCTTCCTTAATTTTTACCCATTTTTTTCTCTTTTCCTTCTTTTTTCTTTATTTTATTCATTCACTCATGTGTTGTTGTTTATTTCTTCATTTATGTATGTTTAATTGTCTTCTATTTTCATTCTGCAATCATTGCAGAAAATCTTTGATATTTAACAGTATTAGATTTAGTATTGTACTATATCCAATACTGTTAAATATTAAAGCCTTTTATTGATTAATACGTATTGGCTGTATTGAACATTTTTAAATAGAACAGTGTATCTCACTTACGAGGTCGCATGAGGTTACTGGCTTGGTCCAGTATTATATCCAGTGCAGAGTTATCATCATCATCTACCTAAAGAGGGAATATATTAATTAAGAGAATTATCAATATTAGCATTATTGTGACACCATCAGGGGCGGCGATCCCGGGACCTCAATTTTTTCAGGGGGGGGGGGAATCGTCCTCCGGAACAATTTGAAAATTTGCAACACACTGGTGGGTTGGGGGCAGTCCCTCTAATAAAAGTCAAACGTGGTTTATTTCTAATTCGATACCAAAGATTTACAAATGTTGCTTATAAATAACATGATTTTGAATGATTTTTTTCCTCACTTTTATGTATATTATATTTTTTGTGCGTTTGTTGGACAATGAAAAATTCCCAAATTTACAGTGTGGGAAAAAAAATGTTTATTTAGAAGCCTACATGTCAGGGCCCACGGAACGGCGGGGCACGGGAGGGGGGGGGGGGGCTCAAGCTCCACCTACTTTTTTGAAAAGTATGTTGAAGAGAAATAGAAAGAAAGAAAAAAATAGTGACCTGCCAGTGTCACAAAATAATAAGGTATCAAAATATATATCATCCGAACTTCATTAAATGCCTAAAACCCCTGAGATTGCAGGGGCTCCGCCCCCATATGGATACGTTGTATCATCCGCTCAATCTGACTTGCGTGCATAGAACAAATAAGCATTTTTCCATGAAAAAGTGAGGTTTTCTTAAATGTACGTTTCTTTCCAGCATTGGGCGCCCAGAAGTCACTCGGGTAACATTTCATAAAGTATAATGTAAAAATACCATATGCAAATTTTCTGTACTTTTGTCGGAAAAAATACATTTATCCAGCACAATGTCGTCTCTTTTTGCGTTGGAGAAGAGCAAATAGCGAGTTTCAATCACACTTTGGCCGCTCTCGCAAGCTCTCACTCGTTTCGCTGTGGTCCAGCGACTTTGGGGCAAGCGGTTAATGAAAATATTAATCGTTAGCTTTCTTCTGGTATTAAACTTGTTTTGATTGATTTTATAATTTTGTCGGAATAAGGGAAACAAAAAGGCTTGACCAATAACTTATCAGCGTCTAAATTGACCTTTTGACCTTGAATTCCCTGATGCAAGCGCACTAATGACGTCATCCTCGCTCAGTGGCGGATCCAGGGGGGGGGGGCCCCCGGGGGCCCGGGCCCCCCCCCCCCCCTTGAGAAAAAAATCATGTAAAATCACGTGATTTTTACCTTTTTGGGGGGTTGGGCCCCCCCCCTGGCGCTCAAGGGGGGAGGGGGGGTGCAAATCAAAAAAATGTGCTCACTACCCCCCCCCCCCCCCCCCCCCCCCCCCCACTGAACGAATTTTTGGCCGGCGCGTTTTTCAAATTTTCGGGAGCAAAAAAAAAAAAAAAAAAAAAAAAAAAAAAAAAAAAAAAAATTGTGCTCTGTACCCCCCCCCCCCCCCCCCCCACTGAGCGACTTTTCGGCCGGCGCGATTTTCAAATTTTCGGGAGCAAAAAAAAAAAAAGTTGGGCCCCCTCCCCTAAGAAATCCTGGATCCGCGCCTGTCCTCGCTAAATCAGTGTCTGTTATCGTAAAATGCTACACTTTCACAATGTTTATACAACTTTTGTAATTATTAGTAAGATATAACATATTTCGTCTGATATCACTGAAGTTTTGGGTTTTATTTAATGAGTAATTTTTAAATGAGAGCCATTTTACTGTTTTATTTTACTGGATCGTACCATTAAAGTCGCGTGGTAGAAAGATGCATTTTCCAACCGCGCCAAATTTAATTTAAGTTCCGACATTCTGTTAAATGGGTTCGTGTTGTTGAGAATCCACTACTTTCTGCTCCACCAAACGTCCACATGCGGAGTCGTTTATCAACTAAATTATTCAAATTTATGGATGCTTCCTTCTCAGATGTTTATGTTGTTGAAGCATTTAATTCACCTGCTATCATTCTTTGTACTCCAATTTCCAGAACGCAAATAACATTTTGGTTTTATAGTTTCATCGGAGTCGTTTATCAACTAAATTATTCAAATTTATGAATGCTTCCTCCCCAGGTGTTTGTGGTGTTTATGCATTTCATTCACCTGTTATTATTCTTTGTACTCCAATTGTTAGAATACAAAATGAATTTTGGTTTTTATAGTTTCATGCAATAAGTAAATCAATAAAAGAGTATGTTCTGCACAATAAAACAATGTGTGTCCCTATTTGTACAATTTGATTTGTCCTCCCTTTTTTGTAATAGTTAATTTACCCATTCACATAATGGAACTACCTGCCCGATGAAGCCAGTGGCCCGTGACCCCTGAGCAATCAACATCGTGTGGGATACAGTTTGTGGTCAACTTCTTTTATGAGACAATTACAAGCAAACGTTTCCATATGTGGACCCCACCAGGGACCCTAAGGCGAGCCCATGGGTGCTCATCTGACCGTAATTAAATGCCTTAAACCCCTGCTCTTCCGGGGCTCCGCCCTTGACCCCACGCCAATTTACGCTACGCTCTACCAGATCGGAAATTATTTAGCCTCCCCCCCCCCCCCCCCACTTTGAAAAAAACGTTCTGCGGAGCCTGCATGTAACACGTAAGAGTGGTGGTGATGCGGCTTTATTTTTCTGCCCCGCGCCCCCCCCCCCCCCCAAAAAAAAAGGTTTTGATCATTACGCCATTCCCTCGCAATTCGTCCCTCCCCCCCCCCCCCCCGGTCATGAAAACAATTCGCCGCCCCTGTTCGTCATTAAAACTCTAAAACGTTTTAAAGAATGGTGTAATAGTACAGTGTGTAGTGTAGCACATTCTAGTATAGATATAATAGCTCAAGAGGACATTATATCCTGATATGACCCCGTGTCGCGCCAGAGCGGGCGGCGCGCCGAGGGGTCATAATTACCAGGATGTAACGTTCCCGAGAGTCAGTATAGAAACAGCTATGCTTCGAATATTAAAACAGTCGATATATCTTTTATATACCGAATTCACAACAAAATTTACAAAGAATTCTTACCTTATCCTTTTGTTGAGTTAAAACATCAAAGAAAATCTGACACACTGTCTGTAAATCTTCACTAGAAAGTTGCCTAAAAGAAGCTAAATATTACGATCATTCGGGAATCGCACACACACTGCACTGTATGTGGTATCCGCACTCACACAAAGAAACTTTTTAAACGTATACGAATGGGGATCTCACCAACATTTATTTATCCGGCACAATGGGCATCTTTTAAAAAACTATTGACCGGTAGGCGGTTATGGCTACTCCAATTTCGACCAGTCAGATGACTAGATTCATTCAACATACCAGAAAAGGTATGTCATGATTATAGTAGTAGTTGTCGTCGTTATAGCAATATCTGTTGTAAAGTTGTCGTTTTTGGTGCTGTTGTTGCTGTCGTTGTATTGATAGTAGTATTACAAGTAGTAGTAGGCCTAATAGTAGTAGTAGTAGTGGTAGAAGAAAAGGTAGTAGTAGTAATAATATCAATAATAACAGCCTTTGGAAAGAACAGCTCTGTGTAGAGCCAGAAGGGTAGTATAATGCAATGGTTCTGATCAGACGAGATTTCAGATTTTTTAAATGCAATAAAATTCTTCGAAAATATTTATATATTTATCTGTCAAAAAAAAAAGAGAAACACACAAATACAAAATACAGAACGTGATTCATGATCCCTTGTTTTTCCACCCCCACCCCGCCCCCCCCTTTTTTTTTTGGGGGGGGGGAGGGGTAAGATTGGAGTGAAAAATCGGAAGGCAGATGTAATTTCAGAAAATATGACGAATTATGTACATATGGTTCTGGTATCAAATGCAGCGTAGCGTATCGATCGCCTCGTGTTCGTTTTCTCGGGTTTAAGGCTGAACGTAGTCAAGTGTACATCGTGATCGAATGTACACTGTGGTCATTTATTAATCTATACGACATCTGCTGCTGATGATATCGAAAATGAGATAAAAAATCTTTTTCCTCGAATGAGGGATGAATATTACAGATTATGTATTGTAGAGGATTAGAAGATGTTGAAAATGGATGATGGTAAATTGAGGGCAGTTTATAGTTTTTCTTTATAATGAAATAAAGTGTGTAAAAAGTATTGGAAATGATATTAAGTGAAAAGTAAACAGAAATAATAAAATTGATAACGATAATATTAATGATGATAATGATGATAATGTTAATAATGAATATACTAATAATTACAACAGAATCATAATAACCGTAACAACTTTACATTAACGTTATTATTTCATCAGTATTTTCCCATCAATAATTATAGACAACTTGGAGTTTGTTACAGATTGAAGCATGATTAATGCGGCGCTTTCTTGTTTAATTTTGTTATCGTTTTTTTTTTTATGTATAAAGAATTCATGCATATTCATACAAGGGCTTAATTCATGACTGTATAATAATCCAAGTCCTTTTATATTTTAATATTCATAATAATGATCGTTCTGTGAATCATGCATGGGGCCGGGGTCTTAACATAGAGTTAAGCCCTTCTAGCTGTCATCAGTAAGAGAATACAAACCTCCAAGAAAAATCCGAGTACTGCGATACCTCCTTTATTCTTTACAGCTTCGCTGACACTGCTGTATGCTGTATCGTAATGAACGATGTGCATCTGTAGAGAGGGAGAGAGAGAGAGAGAAAGGGGGGGGGGGGGAGGGGAGAGTCGTATTATTCCTTCCTTCTTCCAATATTCCAAAATTATATCAAGCGCAACATTTACATTATTTGGTAACTCCTCCTCCACCCCTTGGTTCTATTATTCTCCCTCCTTAATCTCCTCATTAAAATTATCTCTGAAATTTCCAAATTGAATTATTAAGAGACTAATTCATCGCGCTAAAAAGTAACACAAACAAACGGCTTAATGAAAAGAATGAAATCGTCCTCCTTCCTCTGTCTCTCTTTATCCAGAGGGTTTAATAACATACTTAGACTGAAAACAATGTCAAAAGTATAATCCTTTTAATGGCATGTATAAATTCAATTATCTGAAACCTTAACAAATTGTTCACGAGAACGATAGCCCACGAGACCAAATAAATCGGTCCTGCAGGAGACAAAGTCCACGAGACAAACGGTCAACATGTCGGTCTCAAAGGCCTTTTGAAGGCTCGCTTGACCGACATCGCCGGTCTCGTGGACTGTCGGTCTCCACTGTGATGTAATTCCAGAGGTGTATACATGTACATACTTCGGCGGGATAGCGTTCTCCGTCGATCGTGTGTTCTGATCCCTGCATGCTGTTAGAACCGAAATGGAAGTGGAACTGGACAGCTCTGAATGTCCCGCTCAGCCCACCACCTGTCACATCGTAATGACCCTCTCCGGGCATTTTAGAGACCTCGATTTCCACTGGGATGAAAAAGGGGCGTAACGCCATACGAAGGTGAGTTAAACTTAAAATGATCCAAATTTCGAAATGGAAAACAAACTTTTAATTTTCAATATAAAGGATGCATGGACTTTTTGCGCACCTCTGGACGAATATCCTGAACATAATAATAATAATTTTCCTTTTATATATCGACCGGGTAACTTTGTCTCAGATTCTGAAACAAAATCCTGGATTTAGCTCGTTCTGCAATGATAATTACAAACCTTTAGGTCAGTCAGGAACTTCATGACTTTTACAAGCCGATCGCCTGTCTGATTATCAGATATTTATGATTGGAATTACAAATTTTAACACTACAGTCTATTGGGGAAAACGAGTATGGTAAAACCGGTCACTCAAACATTTTTACTTTTTTGAGGCACTTCTATTTTGAAGCGCGATTTGTTTAGGGCTTCAATATAACACTATAACACAGGCACTGATAACACGTAGGGCCGTGCATCTCAGATTTAACATTGTTAAACGATGCATTTACATCTGTGATGTCTCTAAGCGCTTTACATATATATATTGTATCAAAGCACTGTTATTTGTCCTGCTAAAAATGAGAAGATGACTATGTTCAATATTTTGGTCAATCAGACAGTTCGTGGTTCAGAGATGGAAGACTATACATAGGCTACTCCAAGCCCTGAGTCTTCTTTGGAGATGAGGGCAAAACCACAATGACATTAAAGGCCTACTGCACTACTGGTAGCTAATTGCGCCCTCTATATAACAAACAATGCATAATCGGTGACCATTGGTCCCCCATGATCCTCTTTTTCTTATGTTAACTGAGAGCTGAGTTGATGAGATAACCACCTGTCCAGTGACCTTGCAGAGCGGTCTAATCCCTCCTGTAAAGTATGGCAGATAAACTTTAAGGTCTTGAGTTGGGACTTTGAAGATTGCCTGAGCTTTTCGCGATGCCCACTTACACTCTGCTACCTTAAGTATACATGTACCACCGCAAAGAGAGGTGTAATCAAAGGAATTTGATTTATCATTAACAATATTACATAAAGTATTTAAGGGTGTTTAGTGACCGTAAGAAAAAAAAATGTTTATTTTTAATTGAATCACATTATTCAGAGTCCTTCGATCTTTTTGGTAATACGACATTATGCTCCATTAGAGCCATATTTTGTCAAATTGAATGATAATTTAAGTTTGTGGTTATGGTGGAGATTGAGATTTAGGTTGATTCTAGGGTTCATGGGTCCAGAGTTGAAGCTGATTTGGTATTACAGGCAAGTGTACGGAAGTATAAGTAAGCAACTTTTATATTGTCGCTGGCGAATGCTGTGTCGTTACGTAGCGTAAAGCCATTTACTGACAAAACTCACATGCATGACCATTATTTTCCACTGTGGCATCTATGGTGGTGTCGTACGACTGAAGATTGAATGGAGCACGCTCGATCTCCCGGGTCCATTTTGTGACGATGTTGATAGGCGACTGCGAGGAACCGTCACAGAATGAACCGTCGATGTCTTTCCAAAACTCTTGATCTGGAAAATAAGTAGCATAATTGCTTATCTCAATGTTTTGTAATGTGATATTTTCATGTTTTGTCTAACATATACAATGACCATTTTTCTAAATGCGTTTTTGAAGCTGATTAGTATTATAACGATGTCCATGACATTCGCAAATAAAATTATTTAAAGCTTCGTACGAATTTGTCTTTAGTCTTTTGACTATCTTTCTCATTATCGTCATCATTATCATCATCATCATCATCATCAGAATTATGATTACTTGGTCCTCCTCCTCTTCGTAATTATTATCGTCATATCACAATCATCATCACCATCAATATCTTCATCGTCGTCATCAAAACCATCACCATCACGATCATCTGCATCATCATGAACATAATTATTTCTACCATTACCGTCAAAAATACCACTACCAACACCACCACCACCATCATTATCAGAATTATTATGACTTGGTCCTCCTCTTCCTCATCGTAATCATATGTCATCACAATTATCACCACCATGAGTATCATCATCGTCATCAACACCATCATCATCACCAATTATCTTCATCACCATGAACATCATTGTCTCTACCATCACCATCATCAATACCACCACCACCACCACCACCACCATCATCATCACCATCACCATCATCATCATTATCATCTTCATCACAATAATATCAACATTGTAATTACTAAAAAAAAACATTGTTTATTATTATAGGAAGCGACATACAGTAATATCCAATAACAACTACGTCACGTACTTTAAACGCGTTATCTTTGACGAGCCGATTCAACTCATATGAAATCAAGATTCTGAATATACATTATTGCATTTAACTAATACATTTTCATTCTTTTATGAATTGTTTTGATGTGTTTATAATCGTTTGCACTGAAACCTTTGAGACAACTCACCTGTGTCACCAGCTCCTGCGTAACTCCAATTATTTTTGGCTAAAAGAATCGAAAAAATGTATGAGAGATTAATGATCGACGAGATGGTTTGAGTAATTTCAATGATTATTAGAATTATTCTCCTCTCTTACTTCTCTCTCTCTTTCTCTCTCTCTCTCTCTCATTCCCCCTTCTCTCCCTCCCTGGAGACCCTGCTATGAACAAAAGTACATATTGAGCTCTTCCGTTAAAGACACATCATAGTTTAAACGGTTATGTTAAGAAAGAGTATAATAATAAGACTGAGTGGAAAAAAATTCCAACTTTTTCATTAAATTCATGACTTTGAATGATAGCAGATTAATTTGAAGGCATGATAAGCATACGAGGTGGGGCGCATATGCGGGCACCCGCCACCTAATGTATATTCAAGCAGTCGCTGCCTCATATATTCGGGCAGCGAGATGCTGTGTTTGACGTTTGATGACAAAATAAGGTCTATTTGTTGTGCAAATATCCAGGAGACTTTGTTTACAGATACAGAAATCGAAATGAGGACATTAAAGATAACACTCCCCCACAAAAGATATTTTAACGTAATTTTATCAATATTTGTTTAGTCTACTCTGGCACGTGTATGGATGTTCTACACTGTTCAATTCGAACTTCAGCATGTTAATGATTTCATTAGTCAGTTAACGACAAATCTCGTTATGTACTGTTGATCATAAGGTTGGAATATATTTTTTTTACCCCAATTTATGGAATTATTTTGACAATGATTTATTCCTAATAGATCTAGATAAATTAGTATTATCTAGATCTATTAGGAATAAATCATTGTCAAAATAATTCCATAAATTGGGGTAAAAAAAAATACTTCAGCAGTCACGCAAAACAAAAACTGGCAAACTATTATTCAATAAAATCTGAGAATGTATACTAAGTATACATTCTCAGATTTTATTGAATAATAATTTGCCAGTTTTTGTACATTCTCAGATTTTATTGAATAATAATTTGCCAGTTTTTGTTTTGCGTGACTGCTAAAGCATGTGTATGCTACTATGCTTATCAACTAGGGGGACCTACGCCCTTAAGTCATAATTGACAGTAATGAGGATTAATGCCCCACACAAGGGCACTAATATAGCACATCGACACGGTTTTGATCCTGGTGCCTCACAGTTACGAGGACATTGCTTTGCCACTGAACCATGACTGTCCGCAGCGGGGGCTAGGGTAGGGGGCAGTTCCCACAAATAAAAAAATAAAATAAAAAATGCAATAAATTATCAATAATTCATTTCATTTGACCCCGGTCCCTAACATAAACAAATCTTCTTTACGGCCATGCATTATGGCTCAAGGCATTGGCACACAGAAGATTTTTCTGTTATTCCAACGTTATGATCAACAGTGTATAAGGCCTAAAATAGAAAGTTGTTGTATTGCCCTTTGCGACCGACCCAAAAATCTGAAAATCTACGGTCGGCATTTTAATTTTTAATTTTTTTTTTAAACCGTTTTTTAGATTTTTTTATATTAATCAATACAAAAATATGTATTTTGTTTGTTTAAATGTGATATAAATGCATACAATCTAATTATTCCAAAATTCTCACTCGTGCAAACCATGGATAATTATGAGGTGAAAAAGATATCAATGGAATGATGACGCTGAAACACATGTATTAAAGCTGAGAAATATCAACCAAACGAGGGCGGGGAAAAAACGAAAACAAAAAAAACACATTCAAATCTGTAAAAGATCTGTAAAAAAAAAACAACAACTTTTCCGACCAACCGACCCATGTTTAGCACCCAAAGGGCAATACAACAAGTTTTTATTTTAGGCCTAATGACTGTCAAATCCAATGGGCCAAGTCATATCACGATGCTTACACTATAACTAAAAGTTGCTCAAGCTTGGGTATAGCTTGGGTATATAGAGGGCTTGCGAACTTTTAATGCACGGGAGCGTAATACCCGTTGGGTCAGTGTTATGTAGTGATCGCCAACTTGCCTACTTCACGAACGACCGAGTCTAGTCGTGCGCGCCCGATTGATCGATTTTCGATTGACTGTTTGTAAGTTAGTTTTAAAATATCAAATTTATTGATATATGATTAATTGAATGCATTCAAAAATGCACATTATTATAGTTTTTTTTAAATATTTATTTACAATTTAATCTTGCAAGTTTTATTTGACATTTGAAGATTGTGGCGGTGTCCGTGTGCTGCCCTCTATATACCCACGCTTTAAAGTAGATATTCATTGATTTTAAAAACTAACTTTATTTTCATTATTGCAAAGTTGAAACTTTGATTCGACAAGGTTATCAAAATTCAATGCTTGAAAACATTCGAAGTAATGATTATTATAACTTAAAAAATGCTTAAATACAGCCCCGGCATAGCACCTGAAGAGCTCTCCGAACGCTGCTGAGATGTGTGAGACCACAGTATGGACATGATTTGCACAAGCAGACGATGTCCCATGACATCTCACACATTTTGAGTGCCTGTTTTTCATCTTTTCTTGAGTTCTTCCTCTTACTTCACTACCGTCAGGCTAAATGTATAATCTATTGCCACCCCGCGCATGGTTTTATTTTGATGACAAATGCAGCGATACAAAAATAAAGGAATCTGTCGCTTGTAAACAATATAAGACGCCATTGTATATTCAGCTGCACACACCGCGGTATGTTCGGCGTTTCAAGAGGGAACAAATGCCGTCCTTAATATCATTCCAGGGGTTTTTCAATTTAAAAGTCTGGTTTTTTTTATTGTTAATTAACCCCTATCCTGTGTATTTACAAGCAAAAGATTTTAGTTATCAGAATCGGGTCATATCCCCTTTTGAATGGTTTGACATGCCATTATCATTTATATACACTAAACTCATTATAATTTGACAAATAATAGCTTTGCAATTATGTTCATTCTATATGGGATGTCGTCTGCTTGGGCAGTATTTGTCCATATAGTGACGTCATTAAAACATCGTTATTTTTCCGGCGAATCTCTCGTATATCCCAGCTGCTATGGAGGTGGTTGTATTTGTATTTTTATAAATCGCCCGATATGTAGTTGACCTAAAACTCGTACGATGGCCATCTGCTAGCTTACAAGTTTCTAGTGATACATCCCTTATGGAACAATCACAGTGTTACTACATAGTGAACCACACTGTGTACCATATAGTCAAACACAGTGTGTTACCACAGTGTGGTAACACTGTGATTTTGGGACATGTGGTAACACTGTGGTGTACTATGTGGTGCGTACCACAGTGTGGTAACGCTGTGGTATCGACTGCACCACATAGTACCCCACAGCGTTACCACATGTCCCAAAATCACATGTGGCCCACACTGTGGTATCAACCACATAGTACACCAAAGCGTTACCACGTGTCCCAAAATCACATGTGGCCCACACTGTGGTATCAACCACATAGTACACCACAGCATTACCACATGTCCCAAAATCACATGTGGCCCACACTGTGGTACCAACCACATAGTACACCACAGCGTTACCACATGTCCCAAAATCACATGTGGCCCACACTGTGGTACCAACCACATAGTACACCACAGCGTTACCACATGTCCCAAAATCACATGTGGCCCACACTGTGGTACCAACCACATAGTACACCACAGCGTTACCACATGTCCCAAAATCACATGTGGCCCACACTGTGGTACCAACCACATAGTACACCACAGCGTTACCACATGTCCCAAAATCACTTGTGGCCCACACTGTGGCATCTACCACATAGTACACCACAGCGTTTAATACCACATGTCCCAAGATAACATGTGGCCCACACTGTGGTATAAACCACATAGTATACCACAGCGTTACCACACTGTGGTACGCACCACATAGTCTGGTAAACTGTGGCATCAACACCAGATGATACAAGTAATTAGTACTTTACGCTATAAGTAGCAATTGTACTAAATAATTTGGCAAGTGGCAACAAATAACACAGCATCACCGTGACTGGTTCATCTACAATTTCCAATGTAAAGGCATTGGTAATAAGTAGGATTGTTTAAGTGTCCCAAACTTTCCATATACTTGTATTTTATTGAATATATTTTAGTTCATAGTTAGTATTTCCCTAATTCATGTTTAATTAAATGTAATTTACACAAAGTAGTAAAATGTCCTAATAATTGGCAATTTATATTTTCTAGTACTTTTAAAATGAATTGCATATAACTTAATCATCAGTAATTAAGAATTATGCTTTAAATTCAGATAAATTGTATAAAAACAGATCTGCACGCACCCCATATTCATTATTCAAATTAACACATAGTGATTCATACCACATTGTGGTAAATATGTGGCACACTGTGTTAAATATGTACGACTATGCGGAAGACAACATGTGATCGCAGTGTTTGCACGTAGTTAAATACATACCACACTGTTGCAAGTATGTGTCATTGTGTGTGAAATATGACCGATTATGTGGTAAATCAAACCCCACACTGTGGTAAATATGTGTCAATCTGTGTTGAATATGTACGAATATGTCGTAAACCACATGATTTGAAACCCACGCTGTGAAAATACTGTGATCAAAGAGTTTACACATATTTCAGTACATACAACACTGTGGTAAATATGTGTCATTCTGTGTTAAATATGTACGACTATGTGGTAAAACACATGATTTGAACACCACACTGTGACAATACTGTGAACACAGAATTTACACATAGTTCATTACATACCACATTGTGGTACATATATGTACGACTATGTGGACTATGTGGTAAACCACATGATTTAGACCACATACTATGACAATACTGTGAACACACAGTTTACACATAGTTCAGTAGATACCACACTGTGGTACATGTATGTCACTCTGTGTTAAATATGTACAGCTATGTGGAAAACCACATGATCTGAACCCCACACTGTGACAATACTGTGACCACAGAGTTAACACATAGTTCAATACATGTACCACTGTGGTAATATGCGGTTCTCTGTGTCACGTATGTCAGTTTATGTGGA